TTTTTTTTTTTTTTTTTTTTTTTTTTTTTTTTAAAGCTATGTTTGGTGAGAATTCTTTAAATATCAGGGAAAAAATGCACAGTCGTTTTCCATACGCTTTTCTTAGCACACAGAATTTGGTTTGGTTATGAAACGTTTAAGTATAATTTGAATGCTGCTGTTTGAATGAGTATGGTGTATGAAACCTCTCATTATAGAAAAACAGTCTTTTAATTTTCAGGATTTTTAATGTTGCCTTTCTTCTTCTTTCCTAGTTGTTTTCTTCATGCTTATGAGCAGATGTACTTCCTCCTCTAAGGGAGGCTTTCAGCAAAATACATAGACACCAGAATTTATATACTGGAGCTAGAGATGGTCTAGTGTAAATCTGCAGCTGCCAGCCTGCACTCTGCCCTATCACCCCTGCTCTAGCAGATCGATGACTTGCACAGGGATAGTTCGGAGGAGAGCTCAATTAATTATCAGGGAAAATTCTTTATTCAACGGTCCAGCACCGCATAATGTTTTTACATCTGTAAAGGCGAGGGAGACTCTATTTGGGCAGAAAGATCCTAAATCGAGCCTTTATTGGCTGCCTGTTCAGAGACCAGAGGTGGGGGAGATGTGCACCCCTCCCGTTCAGGCTGACGCTTAATTTTGCGGGCGCCCTTTTGGTCGGGAGCGCCGGGCTGGGGCGGCTGAAGCGCGGGCGCGGCGGGGGGGGGACGGACGACAGAGCTGTCGTTTTGTACCGTCATCGCGCAACGCCTGCGACTGCGGAGGTTTCGGTTAGGGCTGGAGAGCCGTCGGGACCTGGCAGCTGCAGTCCCCGGCGCTCGCTTCCCAGCGCTGGCGGAGCGTGCGAGGCATGTGCTGCGAGAGGCTTGTCCTCTCGTTTTATTTTACTGCAGTCGTTTGCTGGCGCATCTTCTAACGGCATGTGCTCCCGGGACTCAGGAGAAGGAGTACCACTGCACCAGGTGCAGTGATGGGGCAGACACACTTCGTTGCTCCATCTCACATCATGTATTTGCCATTAAGTAATGCATGTGTTTTGTTTCACAGAGAAGGTCCATCAAATTTTATTGGTGGTATTTCTGTTTCTTTCACGTTTGTAAGTTCAGGTGTTTTTCAAAGACACAAACACAGTGCCTCCTCCCTAATCCCCACCAGGGATCTTTGAAAAGTCAGGAAGCCTTGTAGATACAGGAGATCAAATCAGTGTAGTCAGCTCAGATTGCCAGAAGTCACTGAAGTAAACGAAGCAGCTGGACTACAAGGGTAAAGAGTTCTTGCACAGGCAGATCACTGCAATAGGAAACAGAGGGCAGTGGGAATTGTTTTCCTCCTCCAGTAGTGTTTCATAGGGATCTATCCTGGGCAGTTCCAGCTAGCTGACCGGGTAAAGGGGTGAGCAGTGGAAATGAAAAGTCGTGGTGGTGATACTGAGCTGTGTAAATATGCTAAGGACAGGGTCAGCTATGAAAATAGTTGAGAAAGATGTTATAACATTTCCCGGGCAATAACATGGCAGATGAAATGTCAGGATGTGAACAGAGGGAACCAGCTTTCCCTGTAGAAGGTAGGCTTGACCTCACTGTTAGTACCTGGGAGATAGAGCTCGGTGTTATGACAAAATTAAGTTTTCACCAGACTGGACTGTATCACTTCTCGTAGGGTCTCTTGGTTCTGACAGTGGCTAAAAGCAGATGCCTAGGGAAGAGAGAGGAGGATTAGAGCAGGTGCATAGAGCTGCTTTCCACTGCTGTTGTCTCAGACTCCACGAATTTGCCATTCAGGGTCTATTCCTGATGAGAAGTTTAAACTTATGGTAGGTTTTTGGTGGCTTTATTAGTCAAGGCATAAGGACTGGCATGTGTGATGTGGCTCGTCTCGGTGGAGCGTTAGATTTTGACATACGCATCTTTTTAAAACTGCATAAAGGCAAGAAAGGATTGGGAAAAGGTAGAGTAGGGCCAATCTACAGTTCTTGGCTAAGGAAATCAAGGAAACTCTTAAGCTGTTAGCTGTTTCCTTACAGTTACTCATTCACAAATGTACTTTGTTGCAATCATGTTGCTATGACCTGATTATGACCTGAGGATTATGAGAGATGAAAATAGGAACTTCCACAGTTGAAGTAATCTGTTGCTCTCGAAGTGTTTTGAGGAACACTTTGACACATTTTCAGAATACATTTTGAAGAGGTTTTGAAGTTTGAACATGTGTTCAGGTATTTGGAGTACCAAAAAAGACAAGTTCTAGTGTCTCTTATGCTGGAAAGGCATTTAGAAAGTTTGTGGCTTGGTTTTTAATACAGTGTTAAGGAATCTTTGGTACTGGAGGAACTAGCGCTTTGTGGCCTGTAAATGTATTGAGGGTTTGCCCACGTTTCCTGATGTACTGATGTCTTGTTTCACTTAAAAACAGCCAAGCTAAGAGCTTGTTTTTTTAGTAAAGCCCACTGTTTTCTTGGCACCATATCTGTAGCTTCTTATGTAGAGACATGTCTGAGAAAATGGGCTCGATGTTAATGATTGAACAGAAGCACATAACTGAATAACTACTGTGTGGACAATGACTGGTTTGTGCCTTTGCTCTATTCCTGCAATAGTGACGTGCTGTTTTGTTTGTGTGCACTGTGCAAATTTTAAAGTGCAAAACTGAAGGAGAATGCCTATAAGTTTCAAATTATATGTACATTATTCTGAAGAATATTTATGTAAACATGGTAAATAAAAAATATTTTAAAATAAGGTAGTTTGCTTCAAGCAAGTGTTTGTGTTGGTGGATAGGAATGAAAAAATCAAGAGAGTTGCTGTCATCTTTTTTCTCCAGTAGAAGTGTGGGTTAACCTTACTAATATTATGGAATTGTGTGTTTCTGTATTTATAGGAAGGGACTGTCCAGAGGTTCCACAAATCAGTGTCTTTCTGGAAAAGGTGGAGACTCTCTTCCAGCAGTTTTTGAGAGAAATGTGCAGGAAGCCATCGACAATTACACCTGGTATGCATTCACTTCTGAAATGGTACTTCATCAAAGACTCTTGGCTTGAATAGTTATTTAAATATTGGTACTCATTTTCACTAGTCATGCTTCTAGTCATTCTCACGGATGACAACTATTAAGGAAGGAATTTAACTTCAGAGATTATTTGAATTTGCAGGCAAAACAGCACTTTAAATCATCTGAGATAGCTGTGTTCAGACTTCTGTATATGTCAGTTTATTTATCACTAAATTTATTTATAATTTATTAATTTATTCATAATTTATTCATAATTTATTCACAATTTACCCATTTATTCATTTATTAATTTATCGCTACAGGATTAAGCAAATATGTCTGTTATCTTTGCTTTCTGCAATTTACATGCTACTTTTATATGATATTTGTTGCTTAGAATATATTGCTGTTTTCTGCTTCTGACAGCTGCCTAATTCTCTTCATGTATAGAAATGTGCAGATTACACATAACACATAATTCATATGAATTGATCTAAACCATAGTTGAGAAGGTTTGAACTTTGTCTGATCTGTCATATGGGTTTACATATTTTTAAAGTACGTCGAAGGGCACTGATTAAGTCTAGAAGGGAAGTCAGACTTCATGGTTAAATGCAAATAATGCTCATCAGCATTACAGGTCAGTTAACTTTCAAGAGGTTTCATTCCAGTTGGTGCTGGTTAGGATTTGCCTGGCCTGTGTGTCTGACTGCCCTTGCTTTCACTGCATCCCAGGGCGTGTGGTAGCTGGCAGGGACCAGCTGGAGCTTTCTTAGAGCTGGAATCCTAGACCTCAGTGTTTAAAGTGCACCAGGTCTAACAGCATAAAAGACATTGTGTACAGATACGTCAACTCAATGCTATTTGAAACATTCGTTAGATGTTATGCTCAGTTTTGCATCATTTTCTTGTGATAGCTTCTAATAGACTTAAAGGAGGCCTGTGTTATCTTTAATGTGTAGTTTTGATGTGACCTTTAACTAAATTGGACAAAACAAAATAATTTAGAGGTGGAAATGCTTGGTACATGTGTGTGTATATATTCTAGAGTGGCCTTATAGTTGCAATTATATACAATATAAATAAATTATATATAAGATAAAAGCATAAGGCTGTAGAAAGAATCGCCTTTAAGACAGTAAATGGTACAAATAGGAGCATGTGGTCATTGCACTCCACGTACATTTGCAACTCTTCACACTGACTCTTAACAGCATGTCCTGAAAATCTTGCATCTAACAGGAATATGTATCGCTGTCCATTCATGTGATCAGTTGCGTTATTTTTAAAACGTTTATGCAGAAAATCGGTGTGTTCTTCATTGTAATTTGTCTTTTCACAGTGGAACGCTTTCATCACTTTCATCTAGTGATTGTACAACACCCACGGAGTTGAATAATTCTTGGTCTGGAATAAAGAGCTATACTACCGGTTTGTCTACTGAAAGAAGTTCAGTTTACTCCTGGAGGGATGATGTACGTCACAGAAACTTTTACAGTACACTTTATCTAAATATTGTACAACAGGTTAATTTTTACAGAAAACGGACATGCAGCACATGTCCTGTGGGGAATTCATTATAGCCTAATGAGTAAGTATACTAATAATTGAATATTTAAAAAATAGTTCCTGTTTGCAAGTTAATATCAGTGCAGCTGATGTGTAGCAAGGAAAACTGGAATAAAAATATGAAATAATGAAATTTTGGGAAAAAAGGTAGGTTTAGGTTTCTGAGTCCAAGAGAATGATAAAATATGTGTTTTCAAATACTGTATAATGCTGGAAGTGTCTAAATGGAACTATTCTCAATGTTTTGAGTCATAAAGTACATTCATGAGCATGCATGTAAATGTCCCAGCCTGAGTAAATATTTAGTTCTTCTCAGTTCTGTTTCATAGATGATGCAGATAGAGATTAAGTCTGTTAGGGGAGCTGACCTCTGAGGCGTGCCTAATGTAGTCTGGCAGCATTGAATAAATCCAAAAACATTGCAGTTGCTGCTGCTTTCATTTTAAAAAGCTGTCCGTGGCTGCTAGTGGTAGTTCTGCCATACCTTTTGCAAAACATCCTAACCTTTAGGGTACTGACCCCATCTGCCGCTGCCAGCCCTCTAGGAGAAAGCCTGACCCTGGATCATACAGTAACCTGGGTGATAGTTACATTCCTGTTCCTTTTCAGTGTGATCCCTTCTGTAGCGTGAAGTGTTTGGGGCACTCAGCAGGAATTGAACAGATACAATTTAGGCCCTGAGTATTGTAACTTTTTTTCTCTTTTTCAGACTGTCTAATGTAAGTGGCCAGATATCATTATAAACAGTGCCCCAGCTGAGGAACCCTCAGCTAAGTACTTGTGTCCATAAAATCAGGCTCTTCCCTGCTACTTCCATATGCCCCTGTGCTCACCTGTTTCTGATTTCACTGAGTTGTAGCTTTGGTGAAGAGGTGTGGAAGGCCATTTCTCACACTGAGGGCTGTTTCCTAACCACCAGACTATGTCAAGCAGCAGGAAGGTGGCCTCCTCTTTGCCCTCTTAGCTGTTTTACTCAGAAAGGAAAAGTGCTGCTCAAAAAAGTAGGGAGCTTGGTGCTGTGGGTCCCAGAGGTGCAGTGTGCATGCTTCACTCCATATTGGAGTAGGGAAGGGGGCAGGAGTCCAGACACCTTACAAGTAGGGTTTTCTATTGGCTAATCCTAGGCAGCTCGTTTCTTTCTGCTGTCTACCTGGGTTGTTGGTTTTGGGTTTGGTTTGGATTTTTTTTGCACTGTAGCATATAAACTGTGTGTCTGAAGATCCATTCCAAGATGCTCAGCCAAATCTGTCCCAATTGTCCTGTTCCGTAAATACTGTGGTTTTTAATATAAACATATATGCATATTTACAATTATTTTATAATATGTAGGAATTTGATAAAGCCAACACACAGAGAGTCCATCAGTTACTTTGGGAGATTGATGAAATGCTGTTTGAAGGAAAAGTGACCTCCCAAACTCAGAGCCTGCAGGCAGAATGTGCAGACTGGGTTGAACGATTTCCTCATATAAGGTAAGGAAATTTCTTACTGGTACTAGTTTTAACCAGTTATCACTCTAATTTAAATTTTTGGGATTCCCGTGTGTGAATTGCTCTTGATATATTATAGCAGTAACACTTTTGCATTCAGATCTGAATCTCTGGGACTGAACAGTGCCATAGTTAAGCAGTACATCAGGGTGATGGTGCAATAGCTGCCAGTGCTCTCTTTTACTTAATACAATGACTGCGGACAAAGATATTTTAGCAGGATGTAATGAGAAAATTATGCACCATTTTCATAATTACTTTTTCTAATTAAAGAATGCATCTTATAAAGAAACTTTTTTTTTTTAACTGTAATTGAAGTAATACTGTGAAGTTCAAGAAATTAAATGTTAATTCTTTTATTAATTCTCCTAAAAATAAATAAAAAAATGAAGGTGACAGCATGCTTCATACATACTGCATAGCCATAATGCCTTCCTAGGCTATGTAACTCAATGTAAAACAATGTGTGATACCAACCTGGCAGTAACTAGTTGAACAGATAGAAGGCTGCAGACATGATTATTGAAAATTATTTTACATAGGTGTGCAAAATGTCTAGGCAGCCTGATGACTCCTCCTTATAGTACAGGGGATAGAAGGTCAGCTGTGTTGTACTGTACTGCCTTCTTGAATGATGGCATTCTTAGTGACATGTGGTGACTCAGAGCTGTTCTATACATAGACCTGCATGTGTCTATCTTCTAGTTAATGGTTTGTTAACACCATTAAAAAGAATGCTGTCAGTAACTGCAGTATGCTTTCAATGCTTGTAGATAATTTGCAGAGGCTTGTTACTAGTAAATGTAAACTAAAATCAACTAACAAAGCTTGTCACACTTTGTTAGGAACAAGAGAATTATTAAATAAATCTGAGGCAATTTTCACTAGCATTAAACCATGCTTTGCCTTTTTTAGATACTGTAAAAATTAATAGAATATGCATAAAATGGAGACAGGATTTTGTGCTGTGTAATTAGTTCAAAATTTTAAGTCATTTTTCAAAGTATCTTCACTAGGTGGAATGTTTTTTAAGTGATTCCCTGTACTTACAATTTTTTGATTCAAATCTAATGCTGGCAATACTAAGCAAGCCTAAGAAGTTGAAAGCGAACTGAAGAAATCTGAGACCTCTGTGTCATTTGGTACTAAGGAATGTGGTACATCCTGTGGTTTAAAAAGAAAAAAAAGAAAGTTATTTTCAAGAATAAGCTTAAACTTTAAAACTCAGTTTGTGTTGACTAGCTACTCAGTTCTGGGATGCCAGATTTATTTCTGAGAGTTGTGCTTCAAAGAGCTTGCTGGCTGTCCTTTTTCTAATTTGTAGAACAGCTATGTTGGTACGTAAATACTTAGCTTAGCATGTGGGAATAAATATATTTGAGAACTGTCATCAATAAGGGAAAGATCAGATCTATTTAAAGAAAACTTTTTGTTCTTGGCTTACAAAATAATGGTTGGACTGGATGATCTTCAAGCTCCTTTCCAACCTAGATGATTCTGTGACTTCAGCTCACGTTGATGGATACTGGCATTGGATAAGTAAAGTCATAGCAGACATTATTTGTCTTTTGCATCTGTTTTTAAACATTTCTTATGGAGTTTTGATAAGAAAGGAAGTGTGTTTGCTTTATCTGCCATTAGAACAATCTAAAAAGTTTGACTATTTTCTCTTAAAAATGATAAGCTAGTATGTCATCTTGCATAAATCAAATTAACTTTAATGACTTAAATACTAGGCAATGTTAATGTATTACACAAGGCCCTGGCCCCTCCATATTGAAAATTTGCTTTTTCAAAGTGAATGTAATGTGTGCTTTTGTATTGCCTACTGTTTGCAAGTATTTGTATTCTTGATATTTGCATATGGAGTTGGTTTCCATCTAAGGTACTGCTCACTCTCTCCTTTTTTATTCAGGGTTCTAGGAAAGCAGCTCCTATTGCCAAAGGATGAAGGCTTTCAGCATTTTCAGAGCAGAAGTGACACCTGTGTGGGTACCAAGTGTTTACCTGGCCTCGGTGAATGTACTAATAATATAAAAGAGTATGTTAATATTTTTAAGTTTTCTTTTTGGTGTTCCCTCTTCAAAAATATGTACAAATACTACTTTCATATTACTGAAACATTTCAATATAATTAAATATGCACTTTCTTTTTTCTTTGTGTATTTAATTCTCATTTTGTTGATATTTTTTTTCTTCAGGCTCTGCATTTCAGGCTCTAAACTGATCCCAACAGCATCTCCAATACATAAATCACTAGATTCAAGTTCCACTAGGATTTCTGCCCCTGACTCATCCATGTATTCATTCCTGGAAGAGGAAATCTATGATGTGGATGGAAAAATAGAAGAATATTTTGCCTTTGACAACAAGGAGCTGTAAATAACAGATATATGTATTTTTGAAGAATATAATGAACAATTGTCAGTGAACCCAGTTGGGCTTCATAAACTGCATTTCTTTTCTGTAAAATACAGTTCCTTCTGTCCCTGTGTTTGGTAGCACAGTGGTCAGAGCACTCACTGGGCATGTGGAAGATTAGGTATGTGTTTCTAGTGGTTCAAAACTCACATCTCCCATATTAGAGGAATGTGTCTTAACCACTAGTTTTTTCAAAGTGTTTTGTGCATGGAGATTCAATACAATGAATATTTAATTTTGAGGTAGGCTTTAGAATGAAGGAATCTCTTCTCTCCAGGTGAGTGCCTTGACCACCAAGCTTGTTTAGGGTCATTGCAATGTATGTGTTCTCCTTGCGTGCCCTAATGAATCTTAAATTCTGTCTGTGCAGTGTATAACAGCTTTGTGAGGAGAAGTGCAGGATATAACCTGCATTTAGAGCACCCTGGTGAGTGACATGAGTCATACAGCTGTCTTGACAGTGCAACCTAGGTTTCCTGTGAGCCAGTTGAATATTTCAGCAGCGTAGGCTACTGGGTGGATGAAAGACCACAATGTGCTGTTTTATAAAATGCCTCTATGAGGGGGAAGCTTTGGTAGGACTAGTGGGGAACAAAGCATAGCTTTTTGTGCTAAAGCTTGCTGCACCTACAGGAAGACGACATGATTGTTGTGTAAAACTGAGGACCCAGACTGAGACCCTTTCAGTCCTGTTTCTGAAAGAAAGAGCCTGGGTAACTGCCTGTTTGGAAAGGGTTTTTGTTTAAGAATCCTCTTAGGATTCTTCTCTTTGTTTTGCTAAGTAAGCAAACTTCATTTGTGAGAGAGACTTGACTGAAGGTGCATTTCTCTCCTTTGTGCCTCCTCAATATGTTGTTTCTTGTTTCCTTCAATTCTGAAATACCTTGTTCCCCGTAACTAAAACATTAGATGTTACAAAGCCTGATAGGAAAATAGCTTGGTCATTTTGTGAGTAGGACCATTCAGCCAAATCTCAGTTATAGTTAAGAAGTTTGCCGTCCAGTCTGAGGGGGAAGTGAAAAAGTGACTGAAAAGAGAAGGGGGTGTAGTAGAAACCAGTATGAATTTGGGATCATCCTTGTAATCTCAAAAAAAAATTGCATTTCCTTAGAAAGAAATATTGTGGTATTAAAAAGAGAAAAAGGTTAAAACTTTCTTTGAGAGATATATTAGAAAACCAAGGTAGAAAATGTTGCTGTACAGTGCTTCCCTAGGTAGGCAGAATCAAAAAAAAAAAACGTAATGGAAGGGAAGGAGGTGAGTGTAAGTCTATGGACTCTGCTATTGTTAGGCTGCAGAAATTGTTTGAAGTTGTTTGTCTTTGATCAGTGGTGAAGTGTTGCAGATGTGTGCAGGTACACAGGACATGATAAAAAAAGTTCTAATTGATAGTCCTCCTGCCAAATACAAGACAATAGTTCCCTTGTGTTATGGTAAAAAGCATAGGATTTAGCTGTTACTTAAATGCCACATATAAAGCTGTTCCTTCTAGAGCTGCAGATCTTACTGTTATAATGCCCTGACTACTGGATTTTTAAATTTTTTACCTTCAAGCAAGAGAAATCATTAAAAGTGTTCAATAGGCTCTGTTCCCATAGGTGATCTATATGTTTGAATTTGAAATTTTTGTGATCTACAGCTGACTGACTTTTTTTCTGTATGTATGTTTCTATTGATTTGATACATTAGAAGGAGGAGAAAAAAAAGTCAAAACCCATGGGAATTCATTTGAATTTGCTTCCTTTATTAGCGATGATGAGAGTTGGGAACAAAAGAAAAGGCATCTTGCTGAGAAGAGGAGTAAGCGTGGCATTCCTCCTGTTTCTCCTAATGCCTGTATCAAAGATGCTGTGGCTTCTGAAGTATTCGATCATATGTGGAACAATGTAATTGGAATATTGGAGGAACTGATTAAAAAAAATTGGGAAACTAGTATCACAGGTATTTGGTATTTTCAGATATGGTATTTACTGAATATACCTAAGAAAAGTGATTTGCCCCTTAGATAAAGCTTGGGAAATCCAGGTGTTTTAAGATAACATGTTGATAGCACCATGCTAATGAGATATGTAGTGCATTGCAACAGGTGTACGTGCACATGCATGCATGCACCTAAAATAAAAACATTCCTACTAATTTAAAAAAAAAAAAAAAAAAAAAAAAAAAAGAAGAATACTGACTGAAAGATCTTCATTACAGGAGAGCATGTTTAAAAAACCCCCAACCTTAATCACTGGCTTGAGATGCAAATTGATGCTGCTAGCAGGGGATCACTGACAACCTGGTTTAAATCTGGAATTTAGGAATCAAAGTCTCCTAGTCCTCATTGTTGGAGCTATGTAATAAAAAGAACCCTTAGGTAGTCAGATTGTTAAAGCAAGATAGACAGACTTGCTGACAGTACAGGAGTTAATGAATTTAATATAGGATGAAAAAATGGTGATGCATGTTACTTTATTTTATGTTTTCATATTCTACCAGAGTGTAGTGAGGAAAAGCTAAAGCTAGGAAAATTAACTAGAAGTGAAATTCTATTTAGAGTGCATGTGTTTTCTTTGGAGGCTGAGAGAAATCTCAGTTCTTCTTTCAATGTATTTTAAAAGGACAGTAACAGATTTAAAAGGACAGTAACAGAAGAGTACTTGGGGTTGTGTTTTGGAAATTCCCTCAAATGTAAGGTACACTCAACCTCAAATGTAAGTACAACAAAGTAAGAAATGGCAAAATTTCTCAGAATACTTGCAGCATCAGAACTTAACATTTCAGGTGTTACTGAAATATAAAAGGGTTTTTCACACTACAGGTGGATTGTTTAGCTCAATATTACAGTTTAGGGAGGATAGCTTAGCAGTCTTATGATAGGTGTGCTCTTTTATCTTGATGAAGGGCATAACTAGCTAACCAAAGTATTTCAACTAGGAATGTAAAAGAATTTTGGTTTATAATAGAAATAAGTTGGTAATATATACTCAAAATAAAAGTATGTGTAGCTGCTGTCAGGCAAGGATAGGATCAATAGGCCTTTTTTCAAAATACAGATTTTTTTTTCTGCTTAAAAAAAATAATCTTTGCGAGTTTTTAAATAACATTCCAGGAGTCTTAGCAGTATTTTCTTAAACAAACGCCCCCCTCCAGCTCTACCTATACAGACCAATTTGCTTGTTGATTTCAGAGAAAGTATAAACAAATGAGAATGCTTTCACAAAAGCATCATTTATGGTAGATTTTTAAATAGCATGGAAACTTAAAACTATATGAAAGTCTTTATTTATTGTGAAGTATAATATTGTTTGAATTTCAACAAATGATGGCTGGTAAACATACAAAATACCTCTTACTCCCTCTACTTTTTTTTTTTGTTTTTTTTTCTGTTGTGCAGAGTGTGACAAACATGTGGAAAAACTGAAAGCTGTTACAGGAAAACTGCCTCAGTTGCCTGTTCATATTACAGCAGATGCTGGGAGCGTTCCTCTTTCCAGAGGTTCTGAAGCACGAAGTGTATCTTTTGGGTCTCATTTTCTTTCCTCGCAGGTAAAAATAACTTTCTGTCAAATGGTGTTCTTTGTTCTGCTAAGCTTGGACAGAGTCCTCATTGAAGCTGCAAAAAGCTCTTTTTTTTTTTTTTTTTTTTTTTTTTTTTTTTTTTCTTATTTTAAACCAATTAGGTATGCTTAAAATAAGTAATCTGATTTAAGATGAAGGGCCATTAAATATGCATTTCTTGTTTACTATCACTCACTTCTCTTTGGTGATTCTTAAAGGTGCTTTTTACCGCTAAAATATTGCTGAGGTTAGTTTCCAGGAAAACACGTGTTGGACTATATTCTGCCCTTAGAAAATGCAGTACACCTTACCTGGTTTTGTGGAAGCTCATGTTTGTATTAATAAAATGCCCTTTTTTGTTCTGCTTGCTGTCTCCTCCCTCTGTACCCTGCCTCCTGTTTTGCACGTTCTTTTCATTTTTAGCCACTGCTTCTGGTTTTTTTTTGTTTGTTTTGTTTTGGTTTGGTTTTTTTTTAATTTTTTTTTTTTTATTATTTACCCGTGTCTCCCTGTTCAGTTCAAGCGACTTCATTCTATTCTGCCTGCTTTTTTTTCCATGCTTTTTAGGCAGTGAGATGAGAAATAGAAGAGAGCACAGCAGTCTCAGTGCTCTCCATTGGTGTACTTGGTTCTATAAGTAAAATGCTTAGATAAGTTAAGTAATGCCCAGGTTCTGTGCCCCTGGGCTGGACTATGCTGTGGGAAAGTGGAAACTTCAGAGAACAGAACTCCAGCTTCAACTGAAACTTACATTGCAAACTGAGTTGCAGTTCAGTAACTAAATACTACCCAAATTCTGTTTGTAAGAATCTGTTTAAAATAAGGAAAATAACATATTTGGCCCCATCTACTACTGAGAATTCTGCTGAATCATCTTAACAGAAGCTTTTCTAAGAAACAAGTAAAATATCTCCTAACTATGTGCTTTTTGAGGTCTTTCTTCAAAAAAAACCCTAAAGATTGATACATATTTGTTGCTTTTACTAGATTCACCGTTTCTCCAGCAACTTCTGTAGTGATTTGAATGGTGTGATGACAATTCAAGCAAAACCGCTTCAACAAAGGCATGTTGCCACAGTAGAAAAAATACAGTAAGTATTGGTATTGACATTTTCAAAATGAAGCATAATTCATATTATATGAAAGATAATTTGCAATTGCAAAAAGGCAATAAGAATGCAGTTATCTCCTTCGTGTGTATCACTGATGTGATAATGATTTATAGAGGTTGCAAAGATATTCTGTTAAGAAATCCTTTTTTTTTCTTCATCCTCATTCCCTATCTTGTTCTCCTTCCTTTTTGCCTAGGAATGAGCAAGAAGACAAACAGCCTAGCATTGACTCCAATGTTCCAAATTCAGTGCACGCTAGGTTGGGGAGAATTGCTGATAACAGTGTTCTCTCATCATCTCGGGTACTCCTGGCACCTTCTAGGAAGCTACCAAGCCATCGTAGGTTACCTTCTCTTACTTCTGACCAGCTCTCCTCAAAAGCTCCTAATATATACAGTGATGAAATCCTTAGGGGGACTAAATTGTGAGTTTTTTCATTTTATTCTTTGCTTTCCTCAGAACTTTACTGAAATTTCACCAGTGAAGAAGTTTGCAGAATACTTGAGAAATAACCTGACATTTATTATTGGCTCTAGAATTCAGAGAGAAAAAGAAAGCAAGCAGAACTGTGTTTTTTGAGGAGAGGCAATTGTTTTATTTTTTTGTCGCTATATTAGCTGATACTACTTTTTGTAGCTGAGCTCTATAAAGAAATGTACTGCTTAATAATTACATATTGTTTCAGTGAAGAAGTCTTTAATGTGAATTTTCCTAAAAGAGGAACCCTTAAAATTCTGTAGGGGTGCCAGCTTGGTTTGTTTATCTTCTGCTCGTGCACCTACCACCCGGAATAAGTTACCACCAATAAACTCGGACGCTGTTGAACAATATCTTTCAGTACCTCGATTACAACAGAGCTCTGTAAGTTATATTCATTTTGTATTGGTGAAGAATTTCAACCTATTTGAAAATAAATTGCTCTGTGTCACTGGTTGAAATGAGCAGTTTTACAATTTGTGTTGGTTTGTATTTAATACATGGTCTTAACATGCTAATGTGTGTTACGTTGGGGGTACCATGAGAATGCAAGACCTCAGGTCACAGAGGTGGAAAGACTTTTTCTCTGACAACACAAACATCTGTTGTTTGGGTTTGTTTTTTTTTTTAAAAAAAAGAAAGCCAACAGAGAAAAACAGCCAATCAGATAGTAAACTTGCATTTATATGCATCTGGATTTAAATAGCTCTTTTCAGTGTCATATGAATGTTAGGTTAGAAGAAGTAGAAAATTATGCTGAATGAGGTAGAAAAGGATGAGGGGTAACAATTTTAAACTGAAAGAGGGCAGATTTAGATTACATATAAGGAAGAAATCCTTTACTGTGAGGATGGTGAGACACTGGAACAGGTTGTGGCTGCCCCCTCACTGGCAGTGTTCAAGGCCAGGCTGGACGGGGCTTTGAGCAACCTGGACTAGTGGAAGGTGTCCCTGCCCATGGCAGGGGGGCTGGAACTAGATGATTTTTAAGATCCCTTCCAACCTAAACCATTCCATAATTCTATACTGACTGAAAAAAAACCCAAAACAATCTAACCAAACAAATTATTGATACTGGCCTATTTTTGAAGTATACGGAATAAATCACTAGAATGAAAGTAAATTGACATGTTGATATGATTTTGCTGAATAATACTTTGAATTAAGAACATGTAAAGTCTTTTTTTTTTTTTAATTTAATATAAGCCTTTGGGGATTATAGACTAACATTAGGGAATGGTCTCAAATCTGTTTGAAATCATGAGTACCCTTAATATTACCTTAAATCAGTGCTTGTAGTGAGTGAAAACGTAGTTTTCTTCTTTTCTCCTTCCCTTGTGTTTTTTTGTATGGCAACGGAAGAATTACTATTCTAACCTATTCAATTACTGCATTCTCTCAATGCTCTTTTTAATTCTCTCAGCTTCGAGGACGATATGCTCATAGCAGAGTGTCAAGTGCAGTGCCTGGCAGTACAGAGCAACGGCCACTCAGAGAAAGAACTGTTATTATTGATCAGTTTTCAAGGCCGAACACAACTCATACATTTAGGGTATGTTACAATGCAAGTAGGGATATGGAAAAGTGCAGAAGTTTCCATTCATGCCCAGTGTTGGTCTACAGAAGGTCTCATTTACTGGGTCTCTCCTGATTTCTGCCGTACAGTGATTCTTGCTGCCTGTAGAGAGAAGCATGGTAAAAAACTTTGGGAGGGTGTGGGACCTTGAGAAACAGGAGTAGTGTATGAGGAAGAGATTTTTCTCAAGTCTGATGCCTCAAGCAGTTCCTTTGAGGGTATCTACGCACTAGAATTGTGCAGGTTTAGTACTGCTTGGAGCTTTGCAGCTTGGTAGGACTCACCCTGCTGGACTAGATTGTAAAAGCTGTAACCAAACCATTTGAGTAGATAAGCATACTATACTAGCTAATAGTATGTCTTTATTTTTTACAGACAGACACAGCTCAGAAGAGATCACTGACTCCCATGGATTTTGCTAACCACAGAGCCACAGGTCAAGGATTTTTAATAGGTAGGCAAAGAAGGAACCACTTGGAAGGCAAAAGACCAACAAAACCTATTAACCCATACGTAGTACAGTTAAGAAGTGCTCAGGAGGAGCCATTTTGGCATAAAAGAACAGCAGGTGTGATTGGCAGAATCTTTTGAGTTTGGTTTTGAAGTTTCTTCTCACTTGGTCTGAGATAGCCCTAACCCTGACTGTTAGGAATCCTGCAAAGCTGCTTTTTGTTGTTACAACATGGAAGGAAAAGGATTCCCTGTCATCTTATTTTTTTTTTTTTTTTTAAATATTCCAGCATATTTACCATTATGGCAAGGGTATGTGGTGTACAGGCTAGATGTTTTGCAGCTACTAGAGTAGCAACACAGATAAAAGTTTTTGAAGTGTTTCATGGCATAAATTTTATTTTAGACCCCATATAAATTCACCAAATTAGTTTACTTTTTATGTGGGGAAAAATAAAATCAAAAATGTGCATTTTTAACATAGGTATAAAGCTCTCTTAAATAAATTAGAAAGTCAATATTGATTTTAACAACTATGCCTTCTATTTATAACACTGCAAAAGAGAGCAGCCTAATGTGGCTTATTTAGTTCTGTTACAGTACAGCTGACTAGTTCCTGGGATATTTGAGTGCTTGTACATAACCTTTATTTATTTGTAAGTTCCTTGAGTTTAAATAATTATATGATTGGCATGAGGATATAAAAGGTAATGTAAGAATAAGGGCAGATTAGCAAACATTGATCTGAGCTGGCTGATGAAAGTAACTCATATGTGATCTTGGAGTGTCTTTCAGATTCTACCACAAGTAACAAACAAAGTTTTCTCTCTTCTAGGCTCACAGCATTACTACAGATCCTTTCAGAGAAATCCTCCAACCTCAAGAAAGAGATTTCAGATTGCTTCTTAACCTAGTTCAGGAAGAAACAGAAACCTCCTGCACTGAGTGGAAGACTGAAGCACTAAATTTGTCAGCTTGTATCTTGTGTAGCAAAGAACATGTGCAGTATGCTGGATTCTGCTGAGCCTTGCAATCCTCAGGATGCCTTCATTGCCTTCTTTTAAAGTTGTCTGACCAGGGGTTAGATTAAAAATTAGAGAAAAATGAAATAAATGGTTGAGGTGTCTGCTCTGTTTGCAATATCAAGATGCTCCTGCACTTGCTACCTATAGAAGCAAATAAGTTATGTTCAGGCCATGAAGTTCTGTTCCCACTTTTTCATATTTCCTCAGTGTTAAAGATATTCTAGTCTGTCCAAACATCAGTCATGTATAAAATTTATACTTTTAAACAAATTTGTGGTATCTTGTCTTTAACTGCTTTTTTAATATTTCTCCATTTTTCAGTCTGTCTGCTTACTGCAGTTTCTCTCCTATAAATATTGTCTGTCCCTACATTTTCTTCTTCCTATAATTCTTTTGAGATGGAATTAATTCTGCATCTACTTATACTCTGCTAATCATCAGTAACTATGGGAACTGCTGGGATAAACTTTGTTTACAGGAAGTAATGTTTTCCCTGCCAGGCCAAACGTGTTCATAGATGCTGGGCAACTGGACCTGCATGCTGACAAGTCGGTAAGACCATTCCAACTTCTTGAGATTTCTTATAAAACATTGCCTGTTATTGTACAAATTAATAATATTTTGAAATACCTGAGCCTTCAAAGTTTTAACATGAAAATATGTAGTTAAGTGATGAAAGCATTATTTCATACATCTTTGTGTAGACCCAAATGGAAAGATCAAAGAGGAGATTGGGATTGCATTTTGCCCAGAGATCAGAGCCCTGACTAGTAGTACTATGTGCATTCACAGTCAGGGGTTCCTCCTTCCATCAGAGAGACAGGTTTAAATAGATGTTGTTGAAGACCTGTTGAAGAGGAAAGAGAGGAGGAGAAAAACTTAATTATTTGCCCCGATTGTGAAGTTAAGAATAGAATCAGTTTCTCCTAGTTGGAAACTAACACCAGTTCTCACTTCTTTTTATGATTATTCAAGGATTGGTAATCCAGGATAAAGCTTTTGTAATATGTATTTTCTATCTGCACTGTTAATCAGATTTCTGGTTTTTGTAAATGCTCATCAAGCACTGTGTTCTTTTGAGTAAATGACAACGTTTTTAAACTTTCCTTGCTTAGCATTTTTCTTCTTTGGCTACACTAAGTTTACTCACTGGTGATACTATGATATTGTATCTGAGAAAGCAGAAGGCTTTTGCTTTGGAGTTGCAGGTTGATTTCATACAGTTGTAGGTCAGTTTGATGCAGTTTCTTCAGAAATCTCAGGTCAAAGATGTCATAATATTCAAAATTCACATTTAAGTCTTCTTCAGAGGTGTGTCCAAAATATACTTTTGCTCTCATGAGTGCTCCCCCCTGTACTATATGGACAAATGATAGTAAAATGTGTCCCTTACCATCTTGTGGCACTTCATGGCAACCTCGGACCTACATTGTGGACTAAATGAAAAGATGAGTACGTGCTGGTTTGGTTCTGTAACAGCAGAAGTGGGAATCACAGAGTGAAGAGTCGTTCGTCAGATGGTACTTGATGAAGGAGAGAAGATTGCTGCTCTCTGAAGTGATGGAGCTCAGTTGCTGGATTTTGCATAGAGAGAAGAGCAGAGCAACAAGCATCTGTTTCTGCAGCTTAAAAAGAAAGAAAAGATCTGCTAATTACTAGAGCAGCAATGGAATGCACCCAGGTGGCAGAGGAGAGGGAAGAGGGCTGTTTGAGGGCTACTGGAAGTATTTTAACACTCTTCCGTTTTGGTCAGTTTTGGGGCACTTGACAGAATCATGGGCCATTTTACAATCTGATAATCATCATATCATATAGAACTGTAGAATACCAGGTTGGAAGGGACCTCAAGGATCATGTGGTACAAGCTTTCTTGGCAAAAGCACAGTATAGACAAGATGGCCCAACACCCTGTCCAGCTGAATCCTAAAAGTGTCCAGTGTTGGGCAATCCACCACTTCCCTGGGGAGATTATTCCAAAGACTGATTGTTCTCATTGTGAAAAATTTTCCTTTCGTGTCTGGTCAGAATCTCCCCAGAAGTAACTTGTACACTTCACCCCTCCTCTTTTCCATGTGACTCCTTGTAAAAAGGGAGTCTCCATCATCTTTGTAGCCACCCTTGAAATACTGGAATATAGTGATGACGTCTCCCCTAAGACTTCTCAAGGCTGAACAAACCAATTCTCTCAGCCTTTCCTCACATGTCAGGCTTCCCAGTCTCTTGATCATCTTTGTGGCCCTCCTCTGGACCCCCTCCAGCCTGTCCACATCTTTTTTGTATGGCGGGAACAAAACTGAACACTACTCCAGGTGCGGGCTGACAAGTGCTCCTGACAAGCATCCCCTGACAGTGGGATGACAACTTCTTTATCTCTGCTGGTGATGCCCTTGTTGATGCAGCCCAGCATCCCGTTGGCTTTGTCACAGCAGCAGCACGCTGTTCACTCACACTGAGCTTGTTGTCCACCAGGACACCCAGATCTCTTTCCACAGAGCTGCTCTCCAGCCACATAGGAGCACAGCACAGGCTGGGATCTGGATTATGTTTTCCCAGGTGCAGGACCTTACACTTGTCTTTGCTGAACTTCATAAGGTTCCTGTTAGCCCACTCTTCCAGACTATCCAGGTCTTCCTGCAGGTTGATCCTCCTTCCAAAGTGTCCGCTTCCCCACTCAGTTTGGTATTGTCAGCAAACTTCATCAGGGTACACTTGATCCCATCATCCAGATCACTTATGAAGATACTAAACAACGTTGGGCCCAATATCGATCCCTGGGAGACTCCACTAGTGACAAGTTGCCAGTTTGAGAAGGAGTTATTTACCACCCCCCTCTGGGTGCAGCCTGTCAGCCAGTTCCTCACCCATCGCACAGACCTCTTGTCTAGATCATAACACATCAGTTTCTCTAGGAGGAGGCTGTGGGGAACCTTATCAAACGCCTTGGAGAAATCCAGGTAGACAATGTCCACTGCTCACCTCACATCAACCTAACCGGTTACTTTGTCATAGAAGACCATCAGGTTTGTCGAGCATGATTTGCCCTTGGTGAATCTGAGCTGGCTTTTCCCAATCAGGTGCTTCGTTTGTCTTGTGATAGCCCCCAGGAGGGGGGGTTCCTGGATCCTCCTTTAAGCCCTTCTTGTAGATGAGTGTGATATTAGCCTTTTTCCAGTCTTCTGGGATGTCCCCTGATTTCCAAGAGTTCTCAAAGATTATAGAGAACAGCCTCGCAAGTACATCAGCCAGCTCTCTTAACACTCTTGGGGGGATATTTTCAAGGCCCATTGATTTTTAGGGGTTAATCTTCTGTAATAGTTCACATACCAGCTTTTTCTTCACTGACAGTGGGTCTGTGTTTGCATCAACCTGGATTTTTGTTCCCAAGCCTGGGCCCCAACAGTGCTGGTAAAGACAGAGGTGAAGAAAGTATTCAGAACCTTTCCCTTGTCAGCGTTGTTAGTGACTATTTCACCTCTCCAGTTTAACCATAGGCCAGTGTTTTCCTTCTGTTTCTGCTTGTTGTTTATGTACTTGAAAAATCCTTTTTGTAGTTTTTGACATCTCTGGTTAATTTCAATCTGAGCTGAGCTTTTGCTTTTCTAACTGCATCTCTGCACACCCTGGCAATGTAGTTCTCAATGGGTATTTGTCCACTTTTCCATCTCTGGTATACTTCTCTTCGCAGTTAAGTCGAGGGAATCTTTGCTCCACCTACTTCCCTCACATTTAAAGGGAATGAACTGGTTTTATGCTTCCATGAGACCATTTTTGAAAAATTCCTAGCACTTGTTAGCTCCTTTATCCTCCATGGAAGCTTCCCATGGAGTCCCTCCCACCTGACCTCCGAGTGACCTGGTTTGCCCTTCTAAAATCTAAACTCTTCATGTTCAGCATGATCCCAGACTCCACAATGTTGTGATCGCTGCAGCCACGACTGAGTTATGAAAAAGGAAGTTTTCTTGGCTTGTGAGTAGCAAGACCATCAGTGCCTCATTCCTGCTTGGCACATCTAACATTTGTATGAGGAAGCAGTTTTCTGTGCATTGAGGAACCTGATGGATGCCGTGTGCTGCTGTATTGTTTTTCCAACAAATGTCTGAGTGGGTGAAATCACCCATAAGAACCAAGTTCTGTTAACCCAAAGCTTGCTTAAGTGACCCAAATATTGCTTCATTGGCCTTAATGTCTGGGTTTGGAAGTTGGTAGCAGATGTCTACTGTAAGATCCCCCTTGGAGATGACCCCTCTGATCTTGACCCAGAGGCATTCAATAGGGCTTCCATAATTGCCATAGTTCTATACATTCGAGGTTCTCCTTAACACAGAGCATGACTCCTCTTCTTTGCTTTCTTTTACGAAATAGCCATCCATCACAATCCTACAGTCATATGAGTTGTCCCACAATGTTTCATTTATTCCTGTGATACAACTTTCTGACTGGGTGCAGAGCTCCAGTTCCTCCTATTTGTTCCCTAGGCAGCATGCATTGGTATACATACACTTGAGGTGGTTGGTCTTCTGGTTCTTATCTTGGGAGCAGCTAAGGAACATTTGTTGCTGCTCTGGATGACCTGGCTAAATCAATGTGTTAGATAGAATTCTTCACTCTTGATTTTTGTTTTTCTTGTGGCTGTGGGACTAATAAGTCTCACTTTCCATGCTATCTGCACACCCAAGTATTTACAAAGCCTACTTGTGCACAAGAATGGTGTTGAAGTGAATGTCTTTGTAAATCTGTCCCCTAGGGCCATGATAAAACAGCAGCTGCTGTGACCTGGACCTTGTACTTGGATGTAATCCTGAAGCCCAGAAGAAGGTTCACAGAAGACCAAAGAGTTTGATATGTTTTCCATTCCTCCTTTATCAAGGTTGAAGAAGTGGAGGTAAGAACATATCTTGTGGCCCCTCTGGAGCTTTAAATAGCTAGAGATGATTGGGACAGGTTCTGGAAGGTCTGCAGGAGGTTTTCCCAGTAAAGGGTGGGTTTTTTCTCTTTTTGCAGTGAAACTTTATAGAATGTCACTTACTTGCTTTTGTTTTGACCCTTCCCATTTTCCTCTCTGGAGGATATTAAGTACCAGAAGGCACAAATATTCTTGTCATAGCTTAGGTCCTGCAGAGAAACCCCAAGATCTTCCCCAACCTCAAGAAGTTCAGGCCTGAGTGATCCTTCCCAGAAAATTGTAAGGGAAGGCACTTGTATGCTTTCCAGATATTTAATGTTGATAATTTATGTGTATCCATCACTTTGTAGCTGACATCTCTGGACTCATTAGGGGGGCCATGTGGAGGAAATTTCATAGTAGGCTTTTCAGCTGGGTGTAGGTGTCAAGGTGTTGGCAATGGGGGTGCTGCTAGGGTGGCCTCTGTGAGAAAAGGCCAGAGAGGAGAACACAGCCGGTTCCTACCAGCTCCATAAAGGACCCGCTGCAGGACATAGCTGAGCCCAGCAGCCAGGCTGGTGGCGCTTCTGTGAAAAGTATTTAAGAAAGGGTACAAAAAATGCTGGACAGACAGAGCAGGAGGAGGGGAACTCTGTGCTCTGTGAACTCTGGCTTGCTTCATGTAATGTGTAACAGGCTGCTAAATGCTTTCTTTAAACTTGCTAGAGTTTGGCAAGGAGGAGGCACTGCAGGATCTAGCTGAACTGCAGGATGGTGGGCAGAACTTGTGACCTTGGAGTAGGTTGTAGCCATCCAACTTGGGTATGCTTTTGTATTGACACATAGATGAACAAACATAGGTGTGATGCTTTGATAGCTACTTACCGTTAATGTCTGTTAGTAATGACAACATCACTGGTACATTATCAGAATTGCTTTACAACAGTAGGCTGTCTTCTGGGGGATGGGTGGTGGTGGCCTTTGTTGCAAGATGTGTTATTATCCTGGCATGGAAGATTTTGGTTTCTTAGAGAGGAGGCAAACTTTTGTATTTTGTTGGGGATAATTGATTCATGCAAAACTTCATGTAGTGAAGGAGCCCAAGTGATGGTTACAGAACAGAGCAGTTGTTGCTGTACAGTGAACACCAGGTTGCAGAAGCCATAGCAAGGTATGTTTGATTGAGGTGAGCATCACATCAATCAGTCTGTCTCTGGAAAACCTAGCTGTGGTCTTCATCTCTCAGATGCTGTTAATTTTCTTTACCTGTGTGAGGAAAGATAATCCACAGAAGGATTTGAAGCTAGTCTTCCTCAAGCTTTGGGCTTTGAAGCTTAGTTTGTTTGGCTACAGTGACATGAAGTTCAGCATCAAGCCCTAAAATTCCTCTCTCAGGATTGGGGGAGATCTCTGAGCTGTTCCACCAAATGGCGACATTCTGTGTTATGTTTTCTTTGTTGTGGACTACAAACTGACTTTTTTTCAGTGCTAGTGATGTTCTACATGAATCATGCTTTAATCATGTATGTTGTGAAAGAGGGAAGCTCTTCCTAAGAAAAACCCTACTTAATTGCAGATTAATTGTAGTGATTGCTAAGTTAGCAACTGGTTAGTCTTGCTTACTGTGGATGCTGTGTGTTTTGCAAGGGATGGCAAAAATGTCAGGTATGTCTTGGCTGGGGCAAAGGACTAATGTGAAGAGCACACCGCAGCTTTTCAGAATGTGTTGTGTACTTCTTTTTTGTCCTTCTGTCATATTAGATCCATTTTAGCCTTACTTTGCTTTAGGTTTTTGTTTTTCTTGCCAGTAGCAAGGATTCTATCGATTTCCTTATTGAAGGATCCAGACCTGCATTCTAGGGACCAACAGAAGCCTGCGTTGCCGTTGTGCCCATGGGCTGACATAGCCACCTGACAGGGTACATGCCTTCCATCAGCACAGGCAGATAGGCTTCCACTTAGGTGAGAGACTGAGTAAAAACAGATTTGCACTCGTACATGCATTCATAAAAGCCAGGACTCGCTCACCAGTGGAGTGCCTGCTGTAATCCAACACTGAACAAATAGCTCTCCAGGTGGAAAAGGAATGCTAATCACAATCTGGTAGAAAACAACTCTCCTACAGAACATCCTCCAAGGTTCATAATGATTGCAAATCAGTGACATAATTAGGCCTCTGAGATGCCAGACCTTTCAATTTCTCCTTCCTTGGGTATATCTTTTACATCTCATTCAAGTAGCTGCTGCCTGTTGTTAGCAGCATCACCACTGCCAGCCACTGGCAGGATTTTGCAATGTTTGTTCTGCTGTGTTCTCTACTTCTTTATGTGTGGCTTTTCACCCTGTTCCCTGCTGTTTCACAGTTTTTCTTTTTTTTTCCTGCAGAAGATGTTACCAGCAATTAGAAACACAGATTTTTGACTCAGAATCACAGTTAACCACTTAATCTAATCATCGGCTCCATGAAGGCAACAAAGTGCGAGGTTATTTATAATGAAAAGAGTGTAATTACCTAGCTGATCTCCATGTTGCAAAGACAAAAGGTGAGCCTCTTAATCCTGCACACTTGCTTCCTTCCTGAGATGTCACCTGTACAAAAGAGGGGACTGATGGCTATGTAGCTTGCCTTATGTGTTTGCAAGACGACATGGTACCTATCTGCTACTTTCTGTATTGGCTACTTTCTGTCACAAACCATTACAAATAACAGTAAGAGTAGCAAAGTTCATTTCCATCTGTTTACTGTGCAGAAAAATGTCACAGTCAGCATTTATGAGAAGGTCTTTGCTTGGAGATTGCAGGAACAAAGTGCCAAAATTTACTCCCCTCTGCTGCCAAGGGTCATCAGCCCTTCCTTAGTTTCTGATGTCTGAGCTTTCTCTGTTTGTATTTCTTATCTTAGTTGCTTTGTGTATGCTGTTTGTTGGTTTACTGCAGATGCTGGTGCAGCCAGTGCAGTCAGTTTTGGTACAAAACAGACAGGAGAAACATGACTATTGCTATAAGAAGCTTTTGTGGTATATTCAGGGGATGAAGTTTTGTAAATTGTGTGTGAACCATGCTGTCTTTTCACTGAACTTCTGTTTGACCACAAGGTTTCTGAGCACTGGAGGCTTTGAGGAGCAGGTGCTTAACAGCCCTGAAGCAGTGGAAAGAGACCCTGGATCCTCCTGAGGCAGGAAGGGTAGCAGGGTGTATGGTGGGTATGGCACCACTTCTGCCCAAGCATTTTACAAGTTGTGGCACAGTTGCTGGTGCTCCCAGTCGTGATACTGGCACCCTGTAGCCTGTGGCTGAGAGTTCAACCATGACATCAGTAAAGGTCATTTGACCTGAGAAGCATCAGTGTGCTTTGCAGTGCTGCTCTTGATTGTAGGTCTGTGTGGGTTCTGGTTTGTGTAACCCCTTGAAGCCATCAAGCCAACTGAAGAAAGCTACTCCCCATCTGAAGCAGTTGAAACCCTTCAGACACCGTGTTGGAGAGTACTGGGGCAGTTCTGTATCACACAGTATGGTGTTCCCTGAAAACAGATGGAAAAAGATGATGTTGAGAAAACCCATCCTTCTCAAATCAGCAAAAAGGTGTTTTTAATCTTGACTTATTTGTGTCTTTTCCCTCTGAGATATTGCACAGGCGTGCACAGAGCGTTCTCACTCTTCACTTGAGTCAGAGGAGCCAGGTGAGGGCAGGGAAATGGCACTGTTCCCCGTGCCTGCCCTGCTGTCTCCAAGTGCTTGCAGGCAGCCTCTCCACGTCTGTGTGTGTGTTTTTTATATCTTTGTTTATTTTCCTGACAGGAAGCTGCGCCCTGAGGCCCATATGACAGCTCCGCCTCCCGCTCTCATGGCCCGGGTCCCGGCACATTTGCCTCGCTGCGGCGCGGCAGTGGCGGTACAGGCAGAGGAGCGGGGTACAGGCAGAGGAGCCGGGTACAGGCAGCGCTGGTTCCCCAGCAGGGATCAAGGCTCGGAGCAGGAGGCTGGGAGGTGGCGATGGAGGTTGTGCAGGGAGCCGCAGGGCGACCGCCGCTGCTGCACTTGGGGGCTGGGGTCGTAGCTCTGCTGTTGACGGTTGTGGCTGTGTGCTCCCTGCCCTCCCTGATGGATTACTGGAGGCGGTGGTGGGTGATGAAGCCGATCCCGGGTATCAGTCCCTGCTATCCAGTGCTGGGAAATGCTCCACTCTTGGAGCGGGATGGAGAAGGTAAGGGCAGCTCATGCACTGCGTGGGGCTCTGCTGGAGCAGCCAGCGCTGGTGAAGTGCTTGGGTGGTCGAGCTGTGGCTGCCTGGAGAGGGGCTGTAGGGTGCGCCATGGCCCTCAGGTCTCTCTGGGGCTGGGGGCAACATGCAGAGGGGAACTGTGTGAGAAGTGGGAAGTGGAGGGGAAAAGGAGAGGAACTACTTAAATGTGGGGTTATTATCAGTCAAAGATGAGCTAGAGGTTCAGTCTGACAGTGGATTCCAGATGCTGATGCTGGACTTGGACCTGTTTCTAGTTGTTGGTGAGGTGGAGCATGAGTGCTGTGGAATGTGTTTTTGGGACAGGGAGGCGCGCTGGGAGCTCTCAGGAAGTGCTGTTTCACAATGCTTTTAACTCAGATCCAAACAACGCTTTTAGCTTGCAAAGTAAAAATACTTCTTTAAACAAATATCTCCCCCCAAGTGAGCATGTGCAAGGACATTATCATGATGAGTCGCTGAGTCATTTTCCGAATTAGCGGTGTGTTCGATGCAAAAGAACTTGCTGAGTATCTGCAGTACGTCCCTCAAAAACAAACCTTCCTGCGCTCGCACTGATCAATGGTACCCTCTTTTTGCCAGGTGCTTGAGAAAGCACTAACATGCTACTTGTTCCTTTTTTGTTTGGTACCCGGTTTTGCACAGAGCATATTTCTTGAAGAGTCTGTGGTGTGAAAGTGGCTCTGGCTGTGCTGTCAGTGGACCAGCAGACTCTTCTGGGTGTGTTTGTGATGCCTTGTGATAGCCAGTCTGCTTGGTGTGTGTGCATTCCTGGCTGTGCTGCTGGAATAGAGCGTGACTGGGTCATGGGAGCATGGTGAAGCTGACTACAGCATGGGCATGCATACTACCCAGTGCCGACACATGCTGAGGCATGTCCCTGTTCGCAAGCGTACACGCTTGCATCGTTCCTCTGGAGCCAACCCTGTATCTAAATATAGATAGGAGAGATCTTCGTGGAAACAAGAACAGGCAGCTTTCCTTGAAATTGCCTCTGAGGAAGCAGTAGCTCAGGATCATCGTCAGGATGTGTATATGAGCCTGACTGAAAGACAAATCTCTTTTTTCTTTTTCCCTTCTTCTTTTTAAATCTTCTTAAAAAAAAAAAAACCAAAACAACCCAAACCAAAACAAAAGAGAACATTGCTTCTCTCTCCAGAAAGCACTGTTCTTATGGAGTCTCTAATCTCCTTTGTTAGCAGGAGTCACATAGCTTCCATGCTTTAGTTAAGTCTATGACCATCCATCTTTGTTCTTGTTTATTTATATAAAAACAGGTGAAGTTTGTGGTTTATAATATTTTTCATTTAAAATGTGACAAAAGCTTTTAGAAAAAAGGATGTTATATAGCAGAAAGAAAAATTACTTTTCATCTGGTGGTGATTTGATTTATTGATATGGGTAAACAAATGCTGGAAAATTGTGATATTTGCTGATGTGAGAAGAAAAAATATTTTCAAAATAGCAAAATATTTGACACTTTTAAGCCTTTTGGCTTAGAATTTTGCCTAAGAATAGAGAATGCTGTGTTTGAGTATCTTTTAGGAAACTAGTTTTTTTCCCTTTTTTCCCCCTTTAATTTGGTGACCTTTGAATTTTCAATTCTGCAGAGGCCTTACAATGAGTCATTTATTGTTTAATCTGATTTCTGAAAGGGCAAAGGCATATTTAATCCTTGAACATCCTGATAGCAGCCACCTCCTCTAGATCTGCAGAATGAACCTGATTTCCATCTGTGATGAGATAGCTGGATCTATGAGCATGGGAAGAGCAGTAGATGGTATTTAATTTGATTCAGCAAGGTCTTTGATATAATTTCCCATGCTTTCTATAAAGCTGAAATGACAAGATGTAGCTGGATAAGTAGATAATAATGTGGGTGGAGAATTGGCTGGATTCCTGAGCTCAGCGGTATGAAGTCCAATTGACAGGTGGACAACAGTGATATCTCTCAAGTGGGCCATGGCATAAGTGATCCTATGAGTCTTTGTGCCCTTATTGATAGGGACATCTGAGCTGCTAAATCCACAGTGGCCCTGTAAGTGGTCACTTACCCTTCAGTAACGTTTCTAAAAAGACAAGGGTAGAGTTGAATCCTGGAGCAGCCAGCTGTCAAAAGCCCCTGCTAGAATTGCAAACCCTCACTGATGGTTAGGGCTGCAGAAAGTGAGAGGATTTTTAAGCATGTTGAGTAAGAAGTAATTTGTTTTCAGGCAAACAATAACAGTGTAAGGGCTCCAGAAGTTTTCTTCAGAAGTCCAGCTAGCAAAAACTAGACATTTCAAGTGATAATGGTTCCTGCACAGTGCTCTGCCGTTACTGTGCTTGACCTCTCTTGTGTATGCACCACCAATATAGTACCTGTCAGTGGGGTCTCAGATGGGAAAAGGTTTGATGTTCTGCCTGGAAAGTAAAGAAGAATCTTGATATAGCATTTTGGATAGCATCAGATAAGCCAAAATACAAAAGCATAGCCTTGATTATGTTTCATTTGACACTTAATTGTTACAGAGCATTGCAATACGGAAGGCCCATGCTACAGTGCTTTGATACTGCTTAAATCAAGCTGCCTTATCTACAGCTAGAAGGGGTTTCTTTGGAATAGAGTGCCTTCGAGAGTGTGACCTTAAAGAAATGATCCTGCAATACAGCAAGTAGTTAGGTGCAGTGTGTGCTGCTTGGTCATAGTAGCAAGATAAAACTACAGCAAAAAGGTAATTACAGGGCATATGGTGATAAAGACTTCATTACAGATGTCTTCCTTATTCAGACACACCACACTACCACCACCACCCCCCTTTTTAAATTAAAATTTTAATCTGCTTTTTTCATTACAGGTTTTTTCAAACAACTGCAAGTTTACGTTGAAGAGTTCAGGAGTTGGCCATTGTTCAAACTTTGGATAGGACCATTGCCTGTCATGATTTTATATCACCCTGACAGTGTGGAGGTGGGTGTGCTTGTCTTCTGTCTACTCTATACTGTCATGCAAAGCAGCATCCAACCTATCAGTCTCTATTCTGTCAATGTAATTTTTGCAAGAAAGGGTTTGAACTGATTCTACTTGAGATTGTCCTCTGACCCAGTGCTAAAGAACGGCTGAAAGTAGAAGAATATAAAAAACCCTAGTCTTTAAAAAACATAAATACTGAAGGTGGCCAGCAAATGAAAATACTGACTTAGTATGTTTTATACAAAGAAGCATCTCCTTTAGCTCTGTTTTCACACGTGCAAGACCTTCTGCTACCAAGATCAGAATGCAGAAACAGATGGCGATGAAGATGGGACCACTGAAATAGGAATAGAACATTATGAAATGCAGGTTGCAATGCTTGTGTCTCACTGACTTCTGCATTAGAACTTGGTGGATCTGTCTTGATGCCATGAAATGTAGTCCTTAGTTTTGCTACTAACAGTGTTTGTCCTTGAACTGTGAAGATGAAGTTGTTTCTTTGTTGGGAGTGTTTATGTGGGTTTGGTTAAGGCTGGAAACCACTGGGTTTTCTCTGAGCTCTGCCTGTGACTTTGCAACACAGGTTTTTCTTTTTCAGGAAGATAAGGGGAGTGGTAGTGGTAGTTTTTGAGTATTTAATTGTTTCTCAGGATTGGGATATTTACTGAAAGACTTGAGGGTGTGAACTCAATGTGCCTCCTGTGTACCAGCTTGTACTGAACTGTTGTGCATTTTACTGAGGCTTGGGGCATGTTTGTGGAGGAACTGAGATTGTGTGAAGTAATCTCAGGTGAAGAAATCTTTCTCCATCTAGCAAGTGATGTTTTTATCTTCTCCTTTCATTTTTCTGGCAGGTTATTCTGAGCAGTTCTAAACATATAGAAAAATCGTACCTGTACAAATTCCTGCATCCATGGCTAGGCACTGGACTTCTGACAAGGTATAGTGAAATTCAGGTGCATTGCTGTCTTTTTGAAATTTGCAGTGTATATGATAGGATGAGGGCTTAGTGACAGGAATGCTGTATGTATCTCTGGACAGAGATGAAAGTGATAGCTGTGGAAGTCTTATTCCTTGTGATGGTCTTGGTTGCTCTTTAGAAATTAATGTCCGATAAAAATCCTGTGGAATTATCCATTTCTTAGCAAATTTGGCCGTTGTTACTTTTTTTGCCCAGAGGCTTGAAATGAATGTGATTTTTGGGAAGTTGTATCCAATGGCAAGTGGTATCTTTTAGGCTGCAATACTACACTCTGGGTGTTTTGAATGTTGTGATGTGTGTTGAGTGTTTGGACTGTGGCAGAACTGCGACTGTGTGTATTGCTCATCCTCAGCTGGTGATGCTGCAAACCAGTAGGGTGGGCCTGAGGTTGGTGATGGTTTGAGGTAGGATGGGAGAGTATCTATACCCTGTCCTTCATTTCCCTCATGAAGTGGAAGCTTGTAAGAAATGAGCCTGCATAACAGCGCAAGTCAGGAGTGGAGAGAAGGAGGAGCAGTGATATAAGGGCTTGGTGTCCTCCAGTCTTGGGAGGGTCAAGGACGGTGATGGTCTGGGTGATGTAAGTATTCAAGAGTTAGAGCAAAGCGAATGTAGAGTGGCTCTGGTGCCTTTGTGCCTATTCTGTGTTTGTGAAAGAAGGTTAAGGTCACCCTGTGACCAGTGGAGCTTTGTTGCCTGTTTGGAGCCCTCAGAGGTGAACTCCTTGTGCTTTGTGATGGGACCATGGTGTCGTAAAAGGCAGCTGTGATCATGTGGTGTGGGAGGTGCAAGTTTATAGAAGAGGATGAGGAATGCCCTTTATCCTGAGTTTTGTTCATGGCCCTTAAGAAGGCAGTAATCAGTAGCAAAATGCAGAGACTTGAGGTCCATGGGCATCAGGCATGATGTATCTTCACTCTTAGTTATTTCCCTTACTGATTAGTTTGTCTCCAGTAGACTTCTAGAGATGTTTTGACTTCCTTGTGCTTGCAAAACCATAATCGAGGAGAATGTTCCAGTCTTTGCTGATTAAGGGTAATAGTGGTAGAAAGCAAGCAGGTAAGCTGACCTAGGAGTGCCCCAAGAGCAGGTTAACGGGAGAAGTGGTCTGATTGTTTACCCTGTAAGCAGAGCTACCAGTTTTGTGCCTGTGGTGCATGTGATTCAGAAAAAAATGAACAAGAACCCCTAGGAAGCTGGTGTCAGCTGCTGTGGCTCCATGTTCTTTCACTGACATGTGGGAAGTGGTTGCCAGACCTTGAGGCAGTAATTTCTGTAATGTCCAGGGACCCTAGTTCACTGCAATCCTCATTTCCTAGTCAGTGGATGGAAGCAGGCATGGGTGGTGATTCACATGATTCACAGAGACAGTGTGATGACTTGAAGCCTTGATACTGAATAGGTGGCTTGTCCTATAGATGGCTTCTGCTTGATCCCTCTGAGCCTGTGCACTGAGCAACCACGAGGCTGTATTGCCCAAAGGCTTGTTGGCATCTTCTTTCATTGAGAGCAGCTATAGTGGTTGTGGCTTGTGCTTTGGAAAGAGCTGGAGCAAGAAATATTTCCATTTTGCTTCTACTGGGGAGTGCTATGGACAGCTTGAAGAGTCATCTAGAACGTGTCCATCTGTGAAGATGTTCCAGGCTGTGGTTTTTACTGTCTACTTTTCGTGATGGTGAGTGTTTTATTTTTCACTTGGAGTTTTTAACCCTTCCTTCTCTCTGTTGATTTTGTAGCACCGGAGACAAGTGGCGGTCACGGAGGAAGATGATAACTCCCACATTCCACTTCACAATCTTAACTGACTTTCTCGATGTTATGAATGAACAAGGATGTATTTTATTGAAGAAACTTGAGAAGCATGTTGACAAGGAACCATTTAATGTCTTCCTAGATATCACTCTGTGTGCCCTTGATATCATATGTGGTAAGTCCTCTTCAGTTATTGTGGTGGGGCTGTAAATGTTTGCAGAGGCTCACGAGTACAGCTGTGCCATGTTGTGTGTGGAGACAGTTGAAGAGAAATGTCCTTGCATATTATGTTGAATGCATTTCCATCCTCCCAAGGCCATTCTTTCTTCTAAGTGTCTTGTGTGCATTGTGAAGCAGGTGAGTTTGTTGGGTGGGCAGGGCAGAAGTAGTAGTCTGAAGTGAGGTTGGATTGAGGAGCAGAGTTCCTGGGCATGAAAATGTAAAGCGAGCTCATCACCTGTAAGGGGATGTGTGTATTTCCCTGTTGAAAGGATGGTGTGGTGACAGAGGTTGGGAGCAGTAGTAACCTATTGTGTACAGGGACTCTGCATTTTACTTTGTGCTCATGAACTGTTGATGATTTCCTCCTCCTAGAAACGGCAATGGGCAGGAATATGGGTGCTCAGGAGAATCAGGATTCTGAGTATGTTCGTGCTGTCTACAGGTAAATGGACATTTTCCTTGTCTTATGTTGTAGTTGAGCTGGAGTTAATGGTGCTGGTGCCAGGAGTTCATCTGCTGTGAGCCATGAGGGGGGGCCCGGGGTTACAGGTGGAGGTGGAAATCCAAGAAGGCAGAAGAAGCTCTTGCAAATTTTGATGCATTTTCTGGTATGTGTATATGCAGTGGGAGGCTGAGGCTTTGAAGAGGTGCCAGCTGCCATTCAGTTAATCCATTGGTACAAGAGGTTAAAAAAAAAAAAATGGAGCTGCAACATTTCATATCAGTATGACTGGCAGAATTGGGAGGGTGCTGTTTTGGACAGCATGTTAAAACTGAGGCACTGCTGCTCTGCAGTTCACAGCAGTATTTACACCATTCAAATTATATGTGGTTGTCCAGTGGATTATGAGAAGCATGGTCTATATTCCTACCACACTAGTGTGTCATTCTAGATGAGATATAGCTGCTTGTGGTATCTCACCCCTGGCCTTTGATGAGGCTTGTTGAGACAGGTGTGCTATAAAAAATTGAGTGAAATTAGAGGATTTGATTGTCATTGGTTTCTTGGCCTTTCCCAAATGGTATTGCAAGTGGATTGGCCCTAAGTTGGTCTAAATGTAATAATTGCTCCTCAGAGTCTCCTTCTTCAGCCAAAAGCATGTGCAGGAGCTGAATAGCAATAACAGTTGTGTTTGAGCTTACTTTAGGACTCATAATCTTTATTTCAAATACTTTTCCTGTGCTTTCTGGCATATATGGTATCTGGACAGTCAAGTAGGAATGTAATGCTTTTAGATGGCTGTTTGGGGTCATGGAGCAGATATTTTGGAGCCCTGACACGAGTAGTCTTGTCAGATTGTACATATCTTTTCAGCACGGTCAGTACTTCACTCATGTGGAGTGACTGGACTGAATGACTTAATATATCTGTTTCAAGAGCATTCCCACTAAATGAGGGTATGCTCTCAGAGATCAGTGCTTAAAGATATAAATCATGGTGATGCTGGGATGCTGGGACAGGTTACAGAAATTTTGAGTTAAAATCAGGAAACAAAATATGGACAGCCTTTCTTTCTGATGAATGGGTTTAAACCCACACAATATGTTAAGTTCCATTTCATTTCACTGGGGGAGGTAGAAATTTTTTTTTGGTTCTTGAAAGTATGTAATTTACTTTAAATCTGTTTTTGTCAGGAAATGTGACATGATGTAATTGTTGTGCCTTTAGGATGAGTGATCTGATTCATGAGCGACAGAAGAGCCCTTGGCTTTGGCCTGATCTTGTATATATGCTGTTCAAGGAAGGAAGAGAACATGAGAGGAACCTCAGGATCCTTCATAATTTTACAGATACAGTATAGATTCTTTAATAATTTTTTTTGGTGGTACATTCTATTTGTTGAAGTCTTGCACTCAGTACAGAGCTTTCAAATGGAGGTGAGGTTCAGCCCCCCTGATATGCATCTATTAAGAGAAGAACTATCTCTCTGTTGGGATGCTGAGGAATTAAAGGAAGACAACAGCTGGCTTTTCTGTCAGAAGCTCTGTTGTATTTAAGCAAGGGAGTATATTACTCTAGGGGAGTAACAGGACTTACAGGTCCCTGACAACCGGAACAAACAACACTGAACTCTTGTTCTGCCCCAGATGCTCCACATCTGAATCACCTGCAGCAGCTCAGTGCCAAGTTTGCAGCAGTAAGCATAGGTCTCTCTGCTTGGTAAAGTCACTTGGTCAAGCTCTCAAAAATGGAAGTCTGTATTAATTTTCCTCTATCTGGAGCAGAACTGCTGAGATGAGCAAACACATGCAGCTTATCATGGTGTTCCATGAGCAAATATCAGCACTAAGACACTTTGACACAGAAACCATTAAGCATATGTCACTGACTTGGCATAAAATGCAGTGTTATGTCACCATGTTAGACTGTGCAGGTAACACCGCTTTCTCTCACCAAATAGCCTTTGTGCTGTTTTTGCCAGTGGTTTCCCTCATGAATCTACTGTTAGAATGTTACCAGGGAGGCTTCTTTCACTGAAATAGGTGTATGTACCCCACAATATCATTGTACCAATGCTCACAGCAAAGGAAATAATGTCTGAACTTTCATTACATATAATAAACCACATTGACTGTGCATTGTTTTTCAGTAGTTCATGTTTTGATTCCTTTTATTGGGAATTGAAGCAGCGAGGCATGAGAGAAGCTTTAAAGGGACATAATGTAACACTTGCTCACTTCCCATGCTGGCCAAATCTTAGATGACTAAGGAACAGTAGATACTATCATCTAGCATAGGTGCTGACAGAATTCACTGAGACAAAAGGTGGTTCAATATGTGTTTTTATATATGTATGTTCAGTGAGGAAAACTGTGTGTATAGCTGTATTTTTTTTTCCCATTCAGTGCTTCCACTGAACAGTTACATACTCTACAACCTTTATTTTTAATTATTTTTTTGTTGAGAGCAATACCAATTTATTGAAAGATTCGGTTTTGCTGTTATAACAGCAGTGGTGACAACAGGAAATCTCTGTCTGTCTCTGGGGTTGTGCTTTGACCTTAAAAAGGGAAGTTCAAACATTGCTCTCATACTGAAGAAAATTTGGGAAGCTTTAGTGTAGTGGTTCTGGCAGTGCTATGTGTAGATCTGATGCAAGATTGTGGGGTGCCCTGGCTTCTCTACAATCTCCTGGGTTCCCCAGACGTTGGAGAGTGATCCTTTCCTTAGCTATTGGATGGGTAGAGAATGTCTTCTTGGTGATCAGTCTGTTCAAATTGTGGTGATGTTTTTTTATTTGCCATCACTATTATTAGCATTCACAATGGGCTTATTCCAAATATTCTTGATATGTTTACACTTCTTGATGATCAACAAGTTGTTTGCATAGTTTGGCTATGTGTTTTCTTGATCACTCAAAGGCTATTCAAGGTTCATTCTATTACTTGGAACGAGAGAGTTTGTTCATATTTCACCTGCTAACACAAAAAGTCAGTTAAAGCTCATGAGCTAATGCTGACAGCTATGCTAACTAGCTCATGTAGACTATTACAGATGGATGTTGTTTTAATAAGTTGGCACAAACCTGTGTGATGCAGACTGTGCACATGTGCTACATGTGCATCATATCTAATATAATGGATCTAATCTCAGGTCATTGTGGAAAAAGCTGCGGAACTTGAAAAAAACAAGGAAACAAAATCTAATAGTGATGGCAACAATGAAGAAGGTGGGTCCAAAAGGAGGAAAGCTTTCCTGGACATGCTGCTGAATGCAACAGATGATGAAGGGAACAAATTGAGCTACAGGGACATTCGTGAGGAAGTGGATACTTTTATGTTTGAGGTACTCAAGGAACACATTGATTTGTTGGGTTTTTGTTTTGTTTTGCTTTTTTCCAGAACCTGAAATTTACAGTTCGCAGGTAGTGACTCTTCCTTTTCTTAGTTGAGGAGATTGCTTTTAGTATGAAGTTATTTTAGCCCTGGAAGCCTAAGAGGAAATCTCTGTAGTATAGAAAATAGTGAAGGATAGAAACATTTGATCCAGAACTGTGTGCCCTGGCAAAATGTTGAGCGATACACATGTGGTAGAGCAGACTCTACTCATGGAAGCAGGTGAGTAATAATAGCTTAATGGCTGATGTGGACCATGGGCCTGCAGCTTCTGTTGTAAATCTCATTACTGCTAAAGAGAGCTCTAAACAGTTTCAGTGTTTTGCCCTGCATTTTGTCAGCTCTCCTCACATTTTGTCCCTTGCCATGTTGGCTGTAACCTTCTGGTTCTGTCAACAACTGTGCATTTGTACTGTCTTGTCATGTCAGGTTTCCTGTCCAATGAAAGATCTAAACAAGACTTTCACAAGTTTTCCACACACCTCCGTTAGGTGGATGTGAATTATATCTCAGAAGAGCTTAATTCAGAGTCATATTACTGGTGTTGTAACCTAGAGAAACTATCTTCCTATCTTACCAGTCCTGTACTACTCCATAGCTGTATTTTGAAGAGGTGCAGCATCCTGAACTTCACATATGCACCTTTTTTAGTACCAAAATCCTTTGTTCGTCAACTTTTCCCTTTTCTGTTCTCCCCTTTTTTCTTTTTTTTTTTTTTTCTTATTTTCTTTTGGTTTCCCTTCCCTTTATTTCCTTTCCACATATTCCCTTCTGTGGCCACTATCTGTGTCTCATTACACCCGTTTTGGATAGTTTTATACCTTTTTTTGGATAGTTTTGTAAGGGTTACAGATTGTGTCTGTTGTATCTCTTCTATTGTAGACATCAGCCCCCTGGATGTTCTGTTGTTGACTGGACAAAATAACCAGAAAGATGAATATGCGTCTGTAGATACTGGTAGTTCATGCAGCTTCTGGGAGGGTGAGAAGAGGATTGTTTACTTGTGTTATTTCAACACTTTTCCTTTTTGGTCAGTTTTTAGTCACCTGACAGAATCATGGGTCATCTTACATTCTGATAACAGCATATTGTATAAATTTCTTCACTCTTGATTTTTGTTTTTCTATAGAATCATAGAATGGTCTAGGTTGGAAGGAACCTTAAAAGATCATCTAGTTCCAACCCCACTGTCATGGGCAGGGACACCTTCCTCTAGATCAGGTTACTCAGAGTCCTGTACAACCTGGTCTTAAACACTTCAAGGGATGGGGCATCCATAACTTCTCTGGGCAACCTGTTCCAGTGTCTTACCACACTCATAGTAGAGAATTTCTTCCTTCTATCTAATCTAAATTACCCTCTTTCAGTTTAAAACTGTTACCCCTTTTCCTGTTGCTACAAGTCTATCTTTTGTGTAGGCCCCCTTTAAGTACTGGGAGGGCTGGAGCCTTCTCTTCTCTGAACTGAACTGAACAACCCCTACTCTCTCAGCCTGTCCTCTTAAGGGAGGTGCTCCAGATCCCTGATCGTCTTTGTGGCCTCCTGTGGACTTCCTCCAACAGGTCTGTGTCCTTCTTATGCTTGGGGACCAAGAGCTGGACACAGCACTGCAGGTGGGGTCTTATGAGAGCACAGTAGAGGGGGAGAATCATCTCCTTCGACCTGCTACTATCACTTCTTTTGATGTAGCTCAGGATACAGTTGTCTTTCTGGGCTGTGAGTGCACTTTGCTGGTTCGTAATCAGTTTTCCATCCACTAATACCCTCAAGTCTTTCTCCAGCAGGTATTGGGGTGGTTGAAGTCCCCCATGAGGACCAGAGCTTGTGAACATGAGGCTGCTCCTATCTCTCTATAGAGGGCCTCATCTACTTGGTCTTCCTGGTCAGGTGGCCTGTAGCAGATCCCCACTATAACATCTCCTGTCCCTGCCCTCCCTTCAGTCCTGACTGATAAGCACTTGGTCTCCTCAGCTATCCCCAGACAGAGCTCCATGCCCTCCAGCTGGTCATTGACATAGAGGGTGATCTCCTTCCTCATCTCCCCTGTGCTTATATCCTTCCATTCCAGTACTCCAGCCATAGGACCCATACCACCACGTCTCCATGATGCCAGTAAGATTGTAACCCTGCAGCCGTGTGCATGTCTCCAGCTCCTCTTGTTTATTCCTTATGCTACATACGTTTGCACAGAGCCATTTTAAGCTGGGCCCCTGATGAAGCTGACTTATTGTCTGGAATTCCTTTGTGCTGCTCTTCAGGTGCTCTCCTGCTGACCTGTGATCCCTTTCTGGATATTTGTTGCTGGAACTGGCATCAAACTGGTCATTCTTGTGATCATGGGACTAATAATTCTCACTTTCTATACTATCTGTACAGCTAAGTATTTACAGAGTCTACTTGTGCACAGAAATGGTGTTGAAGTGAATGTCTTTGTAAATCTGGACCTCTAGGGCCATGATACAACAGCAGCTGCTATGAACTGGACCCTATACTTACTTGGATGTAATCCTGAAGCCCAGAAGAAAGTTCACAGAGAACTGGACGAGGTGTTTGGTACGTTTCCATTCCTTCTTCACTGGGGTTGTGGTGGTGGTTGTATTTGTGAGTGAGGATGTGGTACATTATAAGCCTAGATGCAGAACGGGAGGTAGGACCATTCCTAGTGGCCCTTCTGGAGCTTTCAATAGCTAGAGGTGATTGGGACAGGTGCTGGAAGGTCTGTAGGGGAGTACAGCCAATTTTACATTTTTGGGGAAAGGCATGCGTGTTCAATGTATGTGTGGCACTTTCTCCTGTGTTGTCTTGATATGTGATGGGAGTTCCTAGAGGGAGTTGGGATGAGTTGTTTTAACCAAAAATGTGGAGTTTTGGTCTTGCTCATCCCCCTATTTGTTTCTGGACAGGCAACACTGAGCGTCCTGTTACAATGGACGACTTGAAGAAGCTTCGATACCTTGAGTGTGTTGTGAAAGAAGCCCTTCGGCTCTTCCCTTCAGTTCCACTGTTTGCCCGTGCCTTAAGAGAGGATTGCTGTATTAGTAAGTAGTGTCCTATGTTTGCCACTTCTATCTGTTACAGTTTCATCCCAGAGGGCAACTGAGCACCATGCAGCTGCTTGCTCACCCTTTTACCCTCAGGAGTGGGAATGAGAAAATAAAACAAAAGGCTTGGAGATCAAGATAAGAACAGGGAGGAATGACTAACCCATTTTGGTCACAGGCAAAGGACAGACTCAGGGGAAGAAAAAGAACAATTTATTTTAAATGCTACCACCACTTAATTTGACAATCAGAGTAGGACAGCAAGAAGTATAACCACATCTTAAAAACACCTTGACCCCACCCCTCCCTTCTTCCTGGGCACAGCTTTGCTCCTGATTTCTCTGTGGGCTGCAGGGGAGTTTCTGTTCCAGTGCACCTCCCCCTCACCTCCTCCTCCTTTCTTCCACTGTCGTCAGTGTTTGCATAGGTGACTTCCTCACAACCCCTCTTCACAACTCCTCCTCCTCCTCCCAGGTTCCTCTACTTAAATATGTTATCACAGAGGTGCAGCCACCATCGCTTTTTGGCTCGACCTTGGCCAGAGGTAGGTCTGACTTGGAGCTGGGGAAGCTTCGAGAAGCTTCTCATGGGGGGCCACAGCTGTAGTCTGTCCCCCACTACCAAAATCCCTGCCACACACACAAACCCAACACACTGTCCTGCTAGCATCTACTCAGAGGCAGCATTTCCCAAGTAAAGGACAGTGGTGCTTTATTTTTACTGTGCTGTTTTGTATAGAAAGTCACTTTGTTGTTGTTGTAACCCTTTTTTATTCCTTTCCCTTTTCTCTTTAGGAGGCTATCAAGTACCAAAAGGCACAAATGTTATTGTCGTAACTTATGCCCTGCATAGAGACCCCGAGATCTTCCCTGACCCAGAGGAGTTCAGACCTGAGCGATTCTTCCCTGAAAATTGTAAGGGAAGGCACCCATATGCTTATGTGCCATTCTCAGCTGGTCCCAGGAACTGCATTGGTAGGTAGCTGAAGAGGAAGCCCTTGTAATTTGACAGTGCTGCTTTTGATGTGGTAACTGTGGCAGCAGTGAGTGTATGAGAAATTTAAGTCTTGATGTGCCTGCTTCTCGTGTCCCTTGCTCTCCCCCTTCCACATCTCCCCTGAATTCTGGACTGTCTCCCCTTCAAGTCTGATGCTTGAGCTGCCACATTTTGTTTCTTCCCATGTTGTCTATCATGCTGTCTCCTCCTCACTGCCTGTGCATCCAGGCAGCATGTTAATGGGCTCCTGCGTTAAGACAGGATTGCTTCCAAGCTTCTGATCCTCAGTGTCAGCAAGACAGAGAGAAGGCAAATGTCCTGCACTTGTTTTGCTCTGGAAACATCTCGTCTGTCTATCTTGTTAACTCAGCTGTGTGTCCCAAACATGCAATCTGCAACTGATGTCTTCCTTCCCTCTTTCTGACACCTTTGTTGCTCTGATGTTTTCACTGTCATCCTAGAACTTGTTAGCTTTTCATGTGCCACTGAGACAGCTGTCATTTATCTGTGCTCAAAGTAGAGGCATTTACGTTGTAGAACACATGAAAAGACTTTTCCCTACACTGATCATAAGTGTAGATAGGGGACGTTGAGCAATTGTTATGCCATTTACAAGAATAGGAAATAAAACTTCCTCTGGGTGTTTGGTTTTGTTTTGTTTTCTTGTGGGGGGATGGGGTTGGGGTTTTTTGTTTGTTTGCTTTTAATTTTTCTCATTGGGAATAGGTGCCCTTTCCATAAGAACAAGCAGATTAGGTCTTCCCATGTTCCAGAGAGGAACCTAATTTAATATTACATGTCTAGCTAGTTCCTGGATGTACAGGAACATGTTCAGGACAGGTGTTTCATTAATAACCTTGCAGAAATACATCACTGTGTACATACGTACAGACATTCATCTGTGCATATTATAGAGTGAAGCACAGAAAAAATTCAGTACTGAGTTTGGTGTCCTTTTTCCATTTTCAGTTTAGTTTGAGTGAAATGCCTGGATTGTGACACTTGATTTGGTTTCCCTCATACTTCTCTGTTCTCCCCTTTCCTCCTCCACCTTTCTCTGAAATGTAAATTGAACTTTGCCCTCTGTGCTAGCAAATCATCAGTGTGTGTGATGCCTTGAAGGAAGGTCTTTCTGTCATTCTGTTGCAGTTGTATCTCCTTTGCTTCTCTCTGCATATATCGAACAGTGGGGTTTGTCTTTTCTCACAGTCCCTGTGCTGCATCTTCTCCTGCTGTGGTCTGTCATTCATTCCCTCCTGCCTAGTTCATCCAAGAGACATGACAAGGCTGTGTTTTGTATTAGTTCCATGTGAAGTGTTGACTGTTTCCTCTTCGCTGTTTGAGTTGAGTGCTATTGGAAGGAGGACGTGCTGTGGATTGTCCCAGGAAGGCCAGAGTTGTCATGCAGAGAGAAGTGCTAGTTTCAGTAGTATCCACATGACCTCGATTTTGGCCTAAAGCCAGTTTTGTTCAGAATGCATATACACAGCCCTTGCTGTCCTGTGCTTCAAAGAGGTATCACTGTAAGCATGCAAATGCAGCAACTGTTGATGCAACCTGACAATAAGGTCGGATTTTTGTTTGGTTTTTTTTTTTTCCCTGCCCTGTAACTTGTAGGTCAGCGCTTTGCACAGATGGAGGAGAAAGCTCTTCTAGCCCTCATCCTGCGGCGCTTTTGGGTGGACTCATGTCAAAAGCCAGAAGAGCTTGGTATAACTGGGGAACTGATTCTTCGTCCAAATAATGGCATCTGGATTAAGCTAAAGAGGAGGCCAAATGCTGGATCAGAATGAGAGAAAATTCAAGATTTTATTTTTCCTTCTAACCTTCCAACCTTAGATATGTTTTTAAATCAGATATTTTGATGGCAGTCCAGCACTTAAATCATTACTGGTTGTTTCATTAAAAACGTAATAGCCCATAATTGGTCTACTTTTCTAGTACATGTGAACTTCATGTTTATCTCTGAAGTGCAAGTCTTTAAACATCAAATCTGAGTACCTTATCCACTGGGATGAAACTGTTCTATTGCAACAATGCAAAAAAACCTTAAAAATGGTAGTAGTAAGAATAATGCCTGTGATGGAGTTATCTGGTGATATTCCATTGTGTTTGTGAGGTAATTGATAATCTCAAATTTTGGGGCAGTTTTCAGGTTTCTTTGGTTCTGAAAGGTACAAGTGATCAATTCTTCTACTTGGCACAAATTTTCTTCTGTTTTGGCTATGACTGCATCTATGAAGACAAAGCAAAAATATCTGATAATTTCACTCCTCCTTTGTAAGCATTTACAGTATTTCTTAAGTACTGAGTCCTCTGAATTATTTCTTAGAAAAGTGTACTGTAAGCATTAATCCATATCATCATACTACGAACTTGTTAGTGTGCAAATTACACACCGGATTTCATAATGACAGAAACACTGTATTATAACAGATTTTGAGAATAAACTTCTAGTATGCATCAACATGGAATGTAATTTTATCTGTAAAAATAACATGCCCGAGTACAGGTAAATTACTGATGGATAATAATTTCTTATCATCAGTTCCTCTGGAGTGATCAGCAGACTAGATTTTACTGTCTCAGTCAAAGCTGAAACAATGAGCCAGTCTGCTCTTGCTTCTTCCTGAAGGCAACATAAAGAATTTCTTGCTAATTGATGTTAAAGAGAAATTACAGTGATGGAATGAAGCATCTGTGGAAGTTTCTGACTGTGCTTTCAGGACAGGTGAAAATCTGCAGCAAGTCTCACAGCTGGAGAACAGACTCTCCATGATTTTTGTAAGCACTGAATAAAAAACTGGTGCTAGACCAAGCTGAGGTCCTCTAGCTGGTTTGTCTTTTACTTCTGCCTTATGCTTTGGCACCTTTTTGGCTGGGGTGTGTTACCATGGCAAGACCCCTAGCACTGTAGAAAGAAAGGTGCACACTGATAACCACACTTCTGTCTTTATCTGCTGATGCATCAGTTGGTCTTGCCACCGTGGTTGGTGCTGGGGGTTTTAGGTGTGCCATCGCCTTTAGGTTGTTCTGGGGCTGTGGGTGACCTGCAGAGGGGAACTGGATGAGAAGCTGGAGGTCAGACCTGATATGGTTATATGTGCTGGTCCGCCTCTCATCATTAATGTGTTACAGAGTAAGAAAGGAGTAATCTGTCCTTACTGGTTTTGTTGACCTTCACAGATTCTTTTCTTGTCTTGTGCCCTTTTAACAACACTTAGTGGTTTAATACCTGGGATACTGCTGTTTGTAGAACATCAGAATAAAGAGAAAATAATGAAAATAATTCCTATGTTTTCCAAGTAAATTAGACGTTTCCTTGAACCTGTCAAATTCTTTATATTCTGCTAAACCTAGGTTTTACCATTTTCTGAGGATCTTATAAAAAGAAAAGATCTAACTGCTTCATTTACAGAAATGAAATCACAGACCTGGACAAAGAGTTTATTGTAATTGCTGTCTGTCTTTTGCTATTAAGAAAATAAAAGTCATGTAACAATGATAATACGGTGGCATTCTTCAGGCTTCATTTTCGAAGACAGGTTTCATTGCTAGATAACAAAAATTTAAGTTTACAGGCCTGACTGTAAAAATTGTTTTCCTTATGAAATAACTTTCAAGACTACCTTAACATATGTTAATACACATTAAAAAGAATGATACATGTTTTCCAAAGAGACTCTTAAGTTAGGAAATTATTTAATGCTTTCGGGTACTTGATAATGTGAGCTTTGCAGGTATGCAAGATTTGCATCCAGAATACTTTTTCTCAGGACATTCGGTATGTAGTTGAAACCTGGAGAGGTACGTCGTGTATTTTGTTAAGCTATATCCTTAAATCAAGGACTTTCAAGACAAATGAAAACTAGTTTTAATTTATTTTCTTCTGTGGGATCTATTTTGTGGAAACAGTTTTTAAAATTGACCAAACTATAACATTTGTCTTCATAAGGATATGAGTTTTGTGACATCCATCTACAGTGGCCAATGTTTGCTTGCCCTTTGTTTTTGTACCATACTCTTCTCATATAAGAGGATCTCAATTAAATTGTAGTTTTATAATCTCTGATGAGAACAAGAAAAAAATTGAGACAAAACCAGGATAAAACTGTAATGAGAAACTCCTTATTACAAGTGCTTGGGCTCAAATGCTGGCACAGGGTTACCAAAGTAGAAAATCCCTGTTTAATCTTGCACACAGTATCTTTGCCAAGATGAACACTCATGTAATCCCATAGTTTTTGTGTTCAGAGCTGTTGTGAAAAGGTGGTGACCTCTTGTCTTTTGTTGTGAAAACTGGTTTTGAAGGAATCTGAGGCTGCTAAGGCAGTAAATATTGAGAAAATCAATACTAAAATAACAGGAATTTTCTGTCTGCAGGGTAGGTGTTGGATACCTTACACAGTCTAGAGTGTGTACTTTTATTAACCTGAGTCATATGTAGTTGTTGGTTGTGGTCAGCAACAACCCTTTGGGTTTTGTTTTTTCTTAATTTTTTTTAACCCTGTAGGATTTAGGAATGCAATGCAGCCTTGCCAGGTTTCCTGGTAAAGTAATGGGACAGTAAAATATTGTGTAATAAAAACTGCACGTGCATAGTAGCTGTTGGTGATTTTGTCCTGATGGCTAGGTATCTGTGGATGGGATGAAGATATTGGCTGAAATCTAACCCAAATATTACTATTGAGTAATAGTTCATATAGGGTAATCTTAATAATGCTAATCATGGGCTCATGCTGGCTCTCTTTCTGAAATATGACTTCCTTGCTCTAAGTAGTTGAGAGCTTAAAGATCCCTTTTGTGTGGTGGCAAAAAGGAGACAACTTTCTACTGTCATGACAGAAATAGTGTGTAAGTTTCTGGATCATGGTTTACAGCTGTTATGAAGAAAACTGACAACGAACCTGTGTGACCTCTTGGGTGGTGCTGCTTGAAAGAGCCTCCAGGGCTGCCTCAGAGGCACTAGAGGTTTCCAGCCCCTTTGACCCAAACTGCTTTTTGGGCTCTGAAAGCTTCATGTCTGGGACACACGCAGGAGGTGGTCTAGTGGTGCTTACTAGACATCCACCTGCCTTTCTGAATTTAGTCCTTACACAAAAGGCAAACGTGTAGATGTCCATACACTGCTGCATACAGATGCTCTTGCCATGCGTGATCCAACATGTCATCTGACTAATATTTCTCTTCTAGCAGGTAAAAGACTCCAAGAAACTTTGGAGAATCCTACCGTGCTTTCTTTCCTAAAACCAGTATTGGTGTTCCCCCCTGGCAAACTTCCCAGTATAGTAGTACCTCAGTTCATAGTAAGGTCATATTTAGAAAGTGGTCTTCATAGTTTGTGTGGATTAAAAACTAAACTCTAAAAAATCTGAGATTGTGCTGAAAATTGGAGTTCTCTGCTAAGTATAACTCCATCTTTTGCTCAACAAATGGGCTTTTCTGATCCACACCTGGAGTGTAGCTTGTGCAAGTGGAAAATACTCATTGAAAATGTGAATTATTTTGAGTGAAGAGAAGCAGTATGCCCAAACCTCCAGACCTGACTCCAGGCCAGTAGTTCAGGGACACATGTAACTTGCTCAAGAGTTACTGTTTCACAATTTACAGAGCCTGGTCAAGACATTGGAACTCTTCACTATGTTGAAATGTTGTTGTTTTTTTTTTTTCTCTAATATCTAACAATAACCAGCATTAGCTGTTTTAGCTGCGAGAAGCAAGATCTTGGGCAGTTACATGATTCTCCATTTATGAGAAAAAAATCAAATTATTTATAAGAAAAAAATCAAATAATCCCTCTTACAGAACAAACCCAGTAGTGATTTGTTTAATATTTGCAAGCACTTTCTTTTGGTCCTATGATCCTGAATTTGGTCTGCGTTGATTTGACATCTGATGTGCAGTTATTTATGGGCTGTATTTCTAGGAAGACTATTGTTGACATGTAGTTGCAGGATATGGAACTACTATACTGCTTTTATTTCAATACAATATGCAGTCCAGCACTTTCCACAAGTCAGTGAATAAATTGTTCTAGCCGTCTCTTTGCAGCCATTGCAGATGGAAATGAGTCAAACACAAGAAGACGGCCTAGTGAGAAAGCAGATTCTTCACTCAGATAATGTCATCTAGAATCACATGAGAAGATTGTTCATTGTAAGAAGGAAAGATCGAGATTTAATGTTTTGAACTTGTTTTACCAGCATTTGATATTTCACTCTGTCCCATGTCATATACATAATGATAACCATGCAGAATTAAAGACACACAGACACTACTTTAGAATATTTGTGGTTTGTTTGTTTTTGTTTTTTTTTTTCACTGGAGCATTCATAACCAGATTGTCATGGTTTAAACCCAGCCAGCAGCCAAACAGCACACAGCTGCTTGCTCACCTTCCCCCACCTCAGGAAACAGGGGAGAGAATTGGAGGGGTTTGCCGTAAGAAGTGTGGGATTTTGTTTTGGCAAGCAGAATTAGACCTGAATCAGACTAGACTAGTGCCCAGTCATTAATTTCCTGAGGTGTAAGAATTCAGTAATTCCTGCCACCTTTGTGAATGAATGAGATTTTCTATAAATCGCAGTGGAAATCAGCAGAAAGCAGTATCAAGCTAGTAGGCAATTGCACTGTCAGGGAGATAGGGAGATTTCATCTTAAAGAACTTGACAGCTTTTGGAAGTAGGTTTTGTGGGTTTTTTAAATACCAAGTAAAAATGAAACAGTCAGAGCAGAGACACTCTATTGTTTCAGATAATTCATCTAAATTTTGTACTTTTATCATCAAAAAAGCTTTAATTTTATGAAAAAGTTTTGATTACCTCTTCTTTTAATCCTGCTATCTGAATTACTAAATCTTAATGACAATATGTCAATTTAATTTCTAGAGTATTATTGATTGCTAAATAAATACAATGAGGAAACTCAGACAACAGTAACCTTACATGTGGAGTCTTTATGAGCCTAAGGAGTATTAGTTGGTTTTGGTATTCTATGCACTATTCTATCTCATTTCCTAGTTTAAAGCACATAATCTCTTTGGATTCCAGTGAAGATCGTTAAACTGATACCAGCTGAGAATTTGTCTCAGTATATTTTATGATTTGTCCTGTTATAAATATGTCCTATAATATAATAAACAATAATCCAGTCAGGAACATATTCTTTTTTCTGTACAGAAGTACAGCACTGTTGATTTGAGTAACAGTGCAGCGCTGTAAGCAGGGGAGCATTTGTCTGTGAGTAACAGGCCCACTGAAAGAAAATGCATTTATTTTACACAGTGAGCATGCTCATTATGATTCTCTTTGAATATCACTGCCGCCTTGTTTCTCAGCTCCACTATCAAATCAAGTTGATGCCAATGTAGTTAAAAGAATGTTTTTGAAGGGAGTGATACCTAAATTGGAGAACTGCCACTTTAAGATTTTTTTTTTTTTCCCACTAGTTTGCTTATGAAACAGCCCTCACCAAAAGATTCCATTCCCTGAGACAAATTTCTAAACTAGAGATAATGGATTATAGAAATGAGATCTTAACAGAAGCTTCTGATGAATGAGTATGACTGCATGTTGTATGATGAAACACATGATCTTGGTGAAATTTGTGATGAATCTGCCCTTTTTTTCCTGCTGATTTGAACTGTATACCTATTTTTTCTGAAAGGTTAGGGTTGTAATTTTTTGTGGGGTTTTTGGTGGTTTTGTTTTTTTTAATAAGACAGTAATAAATAGGAATAGTATTGCCCAATATCAGAGCTGGAAAGCCCAGACGACAAATGAAAAAGGAAGGAATTACAAGTTCTCGGAGAGAAGTTCTAATCCCAAGTGAAATGCACACACACAAAAAAGGGAGGCGACAATAATTATTTTAATTGAATACTAGTGTGGGCAACACAAAAACTTGTAAGTTCAGCTTGTTTTGTTTATGAATATTCAGATACGTGGTAGGTTTTGTAATTACTTTCACAATTATAAAAATTCTGTGATTTGAAGTAAAGGTGATAATTTTTCTGGAGGTGTAAAATATTTATTTTATGGATGAGAAAAGAGACTAAGTGACATACCTGTGGTTGTACAGGAAGACCTGAGTGGTGTTGGCTGGAGATGGTGTGCTCTACTTCCCCAGAGCTGTACTCCCATGATACCTCTACACCCCATGACCGATGGAAAATCTCCTCTTCTGTGCAGAAGGTCAGAGCTGTACAGGCATCTTAGTCTCAAAACACTTTGTGTTACAGGAATAAACTACCAATGTGTTTTCCCTTGTCACTGTTACTCACTTAAAACAGAAGACAGCACATAAAAATGAAAGCTGCTGTACTGAAAACACTTATGTCCTCTCCTACAAGCATTTCAGGGCAAAGCAAATTGATACACAGGAGAATGTGAGGACTTTTTGTGAGGTAGCTCTTCCTCAATAAGAAGGAGTTGGAGACCTTGCTGATCCATAAGTCATGGAAAAGTCATTCCCATTATCAGGATGCTCAAAAAGGTCACAGTTGGGTGAAATGTTTTGATCTATGTATTTTTCAAGTAGAGTATCTGTATCTGTCTTTCCAGCATATTCAGTCTGAAAGAAAAGAGGAAAAAGAGTGGAGAGGAGGGAAGAGTTATCCCTTTGGCAATTTCATTATGAAATGAAACACCTTTTTTTTTTTAAGATTTGAAATATTTTTTTTTGTTTGAAATTTATTGTGCTTTGGTTATACATTAAAAGAATTGTGGTAATCAAAATAAGTGATACAGAACAGCTATAAACTAGATTTGACTTCTTGTTGTGTTTACATTTCATATATCGGCAAACAGGTTGGTTTTTTTTTCTGGTTTCCGGCAAACTGAAGATGCTCTTAGTTGCATCTAACAACAAAATAGGTGTGTAGAAAGAGCCACAGTAAAACTACTTGGAAGATGTAGACAGCATAATTTCTGCAGAGTACAGAAAAGGAGAAGGAATAAGAACTTGAGCTGATGTTAAAGAAAACAGAGCACAGAATACATAGTTGAAGAATACAGCTGTCTCTATTTGTTATGGGAATGCCTCAAGAAAATGGTGTAACAGTAAGAAAATACAGGTGACAGTTCTGTCCTCAGGTACAGTAGTTTCATAATGGTGTCATTTACTTGGGTCTGTGTCACTAGCCTTACTGATTTCATGTGTATTTCCCCTTCCCCACCCCAGCTCAGGATTTCCTCTGGAGACGAATTTCATTCCCTAATTATGTAGATTCTGGTGCTAGTAGCATATACTCTGGCTGTTCTGAATCAGGGATTTACCTCTTATTTCAAAATGTCATCAAGAGGCAGATGCTTAGCTGGTGTAAAACCTGGACATGAATTTCAGCGTGATCTGGATGATGTATGCCCTGAAAATGTGGTGCAAGGTCAGTAACAATATTGACAGAGAGAGTACCCATTCAAAGTAAATATTAAAGATAAGTTAGCATTGCAGACACAGTAATATTTAACACACACTGTTGACTTTTTTTTTTTTTTTTTT